TTAATGGCAATATATATTCTCTAGTCATAACTATAATACCACAGCAATTGATGCTGAAAAAATGATACTGCATATAAAAAGTTTTAGGTGTTTCCCCAATCACCTTAGTACTTTCTTACTTTTTGTATTTGCAATTTTATCAATGATTTTTCACCTTTCTTGCATTCTCTCCTCTTTTTCTTTATATTCATCATCATTTATATCATCAACTAAATTACTTGTTTCTATTTTGTTTTGTTCTCCTTCACACACATGTTTGAGCTCCTTAGAATACTTGATCAGGTTCATTAATTGTATTTAATTGTTTGTTAAAATCTGATCCCATTTACATAAGAACCTATCATTATCTAAACCAAAAGCTGGCATTTTTTCAATCCTCAAACCCCTTGGTATTAGACCTTCTTTAATGTATGTCTCTAGGAAGGCGCTTTCCCACCATTTCCTAGTTTCATTATTCAATATTTTTCTTTTGACTTGAAATATACATCTACGTTTCTTAAAGGTTCTGTTTTTTCATTAAACAGGTTTTACATTGCATTTTGTATTTTAGAAAGATAATTACTCAACATATCGAAAAAAAAACAACCTCAATGGATATATATATATATATATATATATATATATATATATATATATAGAGAGAGAGAGAGAGAGAGAGAGAGAGATCTATATATAGAATCTACTGGGAAACAAAACAAAAGAAATACCAAATATAACTTCACTTGTTAAAAACAGCTTTCCAAGGTGACCCTTCCAAATGGGTATCTCACAGAAAGATGTACAATATGTAGCAAAATTTGGGATACAGTTGTATACCTAAGAGAAAATATGAAAAACAAACCTGGTGTAGAATCCTTTAGTACAGTCACACACACACAGATAGTCACACACACAGTACAGACAATCACACACACACACACAGCACAGTCACACACACAATTACCTCTTTCAATCATGACTGGAAGGGGGGAGTGGAGGCAGTGCAGCTGTAGTCTGGTTGTTGGGGGAAGCAGAGAATGCTTCCCCTACCTATGCAGCAGTTACCAGGGGCTTAACGGAGCTTTAAGCTTGGCCCTTGCTGCAATTTTAGCCCTGCCTCTTCAACTCGGTAAACCCCACCACCGCTCAGTAAACCCTGCCCCAGCTGCCTTGCTATTTACTTTCATAGTCCCGTGTGAAGAATAATGATTTCCTCCACCCAGGTACCTGCTTTAGCTCCCCCTGCACACGTCACCCGGCCATGTGTGAGCTGTGTTGGCTGCATGGAGCCCCCTGCTTCATGGGGACCCGTGCGGCTGCACAGATCTTACTTCCCTAAGGTTGGCTCTGCTTGTAATTACCCTGGCTCATCAAACTCACAGTCGAGCTGCTCCATGGCCAGAAGTAAAAGTTCTATGTTAGTGGTGGGGGGAAACGTAACTATTATCACCCGATTGATCACCACCGCCAACTTCATTGTAAGTCCTCACTAAAGAGTAGTTCTGACAAAACCCCAAAAAGTAGACTCTGCTGCGCTCTACTTTAGTTGCTTCTTGAGTTGGCACCAAGAAGGTATAATGCTTGAAGCGTATCAATTAAACTGTTAATAATTCCTGACTGATTCCTCTTCTGCAACTGTCACTAGTCTAATACTATCCTTACCTTTTTGTGTCATTTTACCCCACTCCCTCTAGCATGTAAGCTCGTTGAGCAGGGCCCTCATCCCCTCTGTTTCTGTATGTCCAACTTGTCTGTTTACAAGTACATGTCTGTTCGTCCACCCATTGTAAAGCGCTGCGGAATTTGATGGCGCTATATAAATATCATAATAATAATTATAATAATAATAATAACTAGCTGTGTTAGGATATGCAGTGCCAGTAAAAGCAGTCAAGGTTTCTAGAACAACCCAGCTTTGAAGTATAGTTGTTTGATTGCTTCTCCTTTTCCCCTTCTATTGGTTAGTTGTCAATTGATCTGTGAATAAAATTTAGTGGCTGTCCCCTAACCATCAATCATCTTTTGATCATCAAGAGATTTAGCCCACATGATTGGGCTAATCTAAGGTGCTTATTTGCCTTGAATCAGAGAGAAGTATGATATTAGTCGCTTTAGAGGTGACCAACTTTTCTGTGGCAAAAAAATCTACTCAATTAAGTTATTGACTTTAAGATAAGTTCTTAATAATGCCTTATTTTAAAAAAAATATTTTATTCTTAATTCTTAAATAAAATGTTATTTATTAGACAGTTGTAATTTAGGCAAGACTTCTGCAAAAGGTAATATTTGACCATCTTAATATCCTTAACACACCAGTCATAAGTAGGCCAATTTTTCAAAGAAATTTCTAAAATATCTTCTAAAGTGATTAGTTGACAGGTTTTAGGTATTGTATGTGAAATTTTAGGTAAATATATTTTTATTGAAGGTTTATCAGCATTTTAAGAGTTTTCACAGTAAGCAGTGTGAGACTAGCAGGTCTCTCAAATCTCTTGATAGTGTATGGATGCGCAGATCCAACTTTTGATTTATGCATATGTCGATAAACATTAGGAACAAGCCGTATGGCTCTGAACAGGAGTATAACTCGGGATATGTGCATCCTCAGTAGAGTCAATAATAGAAAGTAAATGCATCGGAGATTCAACGTATTAATTCTGGTTTTACTCAGTGTGTGCTAAATTGTAAGCGTAGTGCTATTCCAGTTGTAAATAGGGCATAGCATGTACATGTACCTGGGATGCAGATTTACTGTTACTATCGTTTGTTGCTGTACGTAGGCATTTGTGCTTGCATGAATGGAGACAGCGTTTTCAGTCAGTAGTCTACGCTCCAAATGGGGACCGGTCGAACAAGTTCACGGGCACCCAATATAACAAAACAAGTACATTGCATGACTTCGGCTGGCCTGTCTACAGTCTCAATCACAGGCGTTTGTGTTCTGCGTTGGTACATATAAATGGTGTAGACTATAAATGTTCTAATAATGCGAACAAGTTGTGGAGAATTCAGGCAATTAGCACTTGGTATACTAAGATATGCGTTGTTGCTAGATTAAATGGAGTATAAAGGGTGGCCTGTTATTGGTTGCAGTGTTGTAATTGTAGCACTGTGTAGCTGTTTAATATAAATGCAGTAATATAGTTAAAGAGTTAAATTGACTTTACACTATAATCGTAGCTTTCACTTGGAGGTATGCATGGGAGAGGTTATGTATATTATTAAAAAGTACATATTATTGCTTTTTTGGTTGCAATTTTCCTTACAGTATAAACAGGTAACAGTGGAACCTTTTAAAATAGCGAGGCTTGTAGGCCTCCATAGATGTTAAAACTGGTGATAACATTAAGCACAATTAGTACTGTTCTATCAGTTGCGATGGACTCATAGGTCTGTTTAAATGTATCATGACCCTTCTGGGCGTTGTGTCGTCAGTCCCTGTTGATGTTGTGTGTTGGGCTTCTGGATGTGTGTGTCGGTCTAGGTATGTGGTGTATTGTCCTTAATATTGTCTGTTTGTGTGTGGTCGGTCTTCTTCTGTTCGACATCCACTCTGTTAATGCGGGGTGTGTTATGTGGTATGTGGGGGTTGAGTGTGTTTTTTGGTGGCTGTGGGTATTGTATCGTAGGTGCGCGGCAGTGGGACTTTAGGTCTGACAGGGTTCGTAGACCTGCAGGGACGATGAGAGTAGTGAGCGCAGTGAGCATATTGATGGATTCGTGGGCCCATTGGAGTTATCTAGAACCATCTTGAGAATTGGTTCATCGATCTCCTTCGGTGGTGCGAGGTTGGCTTCTGAATGTGTGTGGCGGTCTAGATAGGTGGTGTAGTGTCCCAGGTAGTGCCTGTGTGTGTTATTAGTTTTTGTCTGTGAACCTCCCTTCTGTTACTACGGGTGTATGGGAAATTTTAAACCATTTTTTAACTTTATCCCAAGCTTGAATGGTTTGTGCTAATATCATAGATTTATTATTTAGTTGGTCTGTAACTTTTTGATTACAATTACGTCACAAGAAGAATTCTAACCTGTCTCTGCCAACTGCACTAGATTCAATTATTTACCAAATATTTGTTTTACTATCTACTTGCAACTTATATACATGGCCTATAATATTAGCGAAGTAACAGTTTCTTATATCAGGATAGTTTAGGCCACCTTGTTTATATTTCCTCAACAGAACTTTGGAGCTAATTCTAGGTTTCTTTCCTCTCCAAATAGAAGTCTGAAAGCTGAATTGGATCATATTTAACCAACTTTCTGGCATATGTAAGGGCAACATTCAAAATAAATATGTCCATTTTGGCATGATACATCCATTTATTGTATTGATCCTACCTGACCAAGACGATTCTGTTATTCGCTTTGAAATAAATGTACTAAGTCTTTTAAAATATACTAATTACATTTATTTCCCTAGTATTCTTGATATGTTCACCTAAATAATTGAAATATTTTGTTGTCCGAGTGAAGTTAAATTTTGCTTTAAGATCTTTATTGAGATCATTATGTATGTTACTAATTAAGGCAAATGATTAAGAGACATTTAGTTTATAATTAGACACTTCACTGTATTTACTAATTTTGTGTATTAGATAAGGGAGAGACAATTCTGCTGATTTGAGTGTTAATAAAATATTGTCAGAATAAAGTAATATTTTTGCTTTAAATGTTTTAACTGGGAATCCTTTAATGTTAGCGTTAGCTCTAATGTTTATTGCTAAAGGTTCTATCGTTAAAACATAAAGAATCAGGGACAGGGGGCACCCTTGCCTTGTACCGTTTTGTAACTTAAACCAGTTAGCTGAGATAGTTACACCAACTGTTCTTGCCATAGGTTCTGAATATAAGGCCATAATGGTGCTCTGAATCCAGCCCCCAAACCCAAATGATTTTAATACCAAGTCTAAAAAACTCCAGCTGACCCTGTTAAAGGCTTTCTCTGCGTCCAATGACAGGGTCAGCAGAGGGATCTCCAAGTGATCTGCTTGTTCTAGTATATCCAGAATTCTTCTGGTACAGCTAATCGTAGAATCTGCCCGGAATAAAACCTACTTCACATCTATGTTGATCAATGAGATCTATAGAGGTCTATAGTTACTAACATTGTTTTTATTTGGCTTTAATATAGGAAGGCGATTGGCTTGTAATAATTTGTTTGGAGTCTTAGCTCCAATAGCCATCTCGTTATACAAAGCAGTTAAAGGAAAGATGATTTATTTTTTCATAATTTTATAAAAATAATTACTATATCCATCCAGGCCTGGTATTTTAAATAATTCTAATCTATTTCTCTTTGGATTTCTTCGGGTTGAAACTCAAAGTTAAGAAATTCTAAATCTGAGTAAGAGATTTTTGGAGTTTGAGTATTAGACACGTAATCAAGCATTTTATCCTTTTTTTGGAATAGAACCAAGGTTGTATAAATTACTATGGAAATCATTAATTTTTTTGCCAATTTGTTCAGGAGAGGAATATGTAGTTAGGTTACCAATCAGTTTATCCTATTTTCATATTTTGTTTCTTTAATTTTTTTGTTAAGTTTTTATTGGCTCTATTGCCCTGGTAGTAATTATTTAATCTCAATTTATGAAGAGTTTTTTTGTATTTTCTTCTATTTTTTAATTAATTTTACTTTGCAGTTCTGAGAGCCTTAACAAACTTGTCTGGAGGGTTGCATTCTGTTCAACTTGCATAAATTAGAATATAGGATATTTAAATCTGTAAGATATTTCTCTTAATTTTTTGCTTGTTTTTCGATTTTAGTAAAATAGCCTCTCATTACTACTTTATACGTAGCCCATAAAGTGGAGTCTGAAATTTCAGGGAATGAATTTTCCAACCAGAAAAGTCTGTAAAGATTAGTTAATTCTTCAATATTTTCTTTATTTTTCTAGTCTCCAAGTACTTAATCCCTTACACGTGGGTTTACCTAATTCCCATATGTATTCTCTTTAATTTGTACATTATTATTATCTATCGGGTTGACGTTAACTAAACACAAATCAATTCTTGAGTAAGAATTATGTACTCTAGATAGAGGTGTGTAGTTGTGAAAATCAGGATGTGGCTCACCAAGCATCATACAATCCATGGATATTGCATATTTTAATTAGTTTTTTAGATTGGTTTTGTATTATTTTTTCAGATTTGGGCTGGGATTGATATTTATCTATTGTTGGATTAAAGGCCCAGTTAAAATCAACAGCAATTAATAATGTCCCTCTAATAATTTTTTTCTATTCTATTCATAATCTTAGAAAATAATGTCTGATTAGCGTTCGGTAGACATTTGCAAGCGTATATAACATGCCGTCTATTATTAAAAATCTGCCTGAAGGGTCACAATCCTGATAGATTATTTCTCCACTTTTTTATCATCATCAAGAGAGGCGTAAAAAACTGATTTATACCTATAACCCCTCTGTGTTGGGGCTGCAAGAGTGCACAATTCCAGATTCCCAATGTTTCTCAATTATCTGTACTCATTCAAGGAATGTGTGCACTAGCAGAGTGCGCCTACCCATTCCATTAGCTCCACGGAGCTAATGGAAGTGGTAGACAAACTCCCTGGCTGTCTGAGTAAAAGCGAAGGTGGTGTTTCTGCCCCCAATTTTAAACGTTTTGATTTCTATTTAAATCACCACTTTTATACACACCAAATACATTTTTTACTCCAGCAAGCTGAAGGTTTTTAAGTGTCTGGAGTGTTCCATTTTTTCAAATGAAAAGTGCTGAACAATTTCTCTAATGTTTTAATGATAACACTGCATAACTTTTAAATACATTATTGGAAATTGTTTCATTATTGAAATTGGTGAAATCATAGATCTCCGTATATAACAATATATTTGGTATATTGTATTCCTCTCTCTCAATTTAAGGCCTCAGGGAACTGAAGATGAGAAGGTAGACGTGCGATATGATTCTCAGCTTTCATTCTGTGACCGAATTTATAAAGATCTTGATGTCTTGTTGTCCCACATTCACCTTCATGATGGTCTGTCCTCTATAATGAAACAGCCGACTCTGTACATTAGGGATATGGCTCCTAGTGCATCTTTTCATGCGCTATCCAGGTACGGAACACAGCATAAACAAAATGCACATCATGGTTAATCTTACCTGTTCTCACCCTCTTATATCATGATCATTCTGATTGTTCCACAAGGTGAAAGTGTTTTAAACAAACAGTGGGGGTGCTTCCCTTATCCATATTCTGACAATGGGGGGGGAGTTCATCTTTCAGAAATAACATGGCACAAGCTTTTAAAATCATGGTTCTAAATTGAAATAAATTATTGTTTAAACCTTTCATTCATTATTTAATGCAAAATAAAATCATTTTATGGGAATAGAAATGGTAAAAAAAATAACCTACAGTAAGGCAGCAATAGGGAAAATCACTGGACCTATAAAACCATGATACATACAATAAATAGGAGACTGCACTCTCAAACCTGGACACAACCCAATAGTACCAATACTCATAAAAAATATATCTAAATAAAAATGACGTGTGCACCCTATAGTGACACTGATGTTAGGTCCTCTTCCATTGATTTTTTTTTTCTTTGCCAGGATATGAAAAACAGAATAGGGTAAGGGTAGACAGTGAAAAAAGACCTGCACAGAGCAGTATTTTTAAAAATAGGTGTCTGTTGTAGATAGAAAATATATTGATAGCTTCTGGTGTATAACTGGAAATGAAAAACCATTACACATCACTCTACTTTACACCAGTGTTTGGCTGTGATATTCGGTAAAACCGTTTGACAAGCCCCCATGACATATTTGACAGGTGCTGCTCCTACCCCTACTACATCTGACAGAGAGCGGGGAAGCTCCCGCTTAGGAGTGGAATCAGCTGACACTCTAAAGCACTGTGCTAGGCCTGAACATCACAGCTTAGCTCAGGAGAGTTAACGGCAGCTCCTGAGCAGGAGGTTCTGCTTCTCACTGAGCTGTAGTGGAGGGGGGATGTGGCACCTGGCAGCCACCTCGTGAGAAGTCAAGCTGTTCTAAAACATTTTGAGTCTTTACAATAGTTGGCCACCAGGGTGATTATTGTGCTTAGATTTTTCCTTTAATAAAAGAACAACACCATAAGTGTTATCTTTCTTTTTTTTCCTGCAAAACTGCAATGTATTACATTGCAGGTTTTAAATTGCAGGGCCTCTCCACTCAGACTACTCTGTTGACTACTTCTCTCCAAAAAATAGCCATACAAGGCATTTCTAGCCATGGTTCCATGTCCCCTGCAATTCCTCCACCATTTAGATGAAAGACCTCTATAAATTTTCTGCAATTGTGAAGGTGCCAAATACTAGACATGTGCAACTGGTCTCAATTCCAAAACTCCTTACAAACCAAAACAAACAAGAACAAATTGGAATTGGAAATAATTTAAACAAATAATATAGGATTCATTCATTTTTCTAAGGATAGCAAATGATATTCTAAGCAACTAGATGTATCTAATACATGACTAACAGAACAAAATGAATGTATACATGCAGTATATACAATATATATATATATATATATATATATATATATATATATATACATGCAACATATATATTCTATATGCATGTAGCACATATGTTCTTTATACATATAGCACATACTATATATGAAACCTAAACATGCATAAATTGGGTGCTGCTGGGGCCAACCCATACAACACGCTAGGGTTGCCACCTGGCCAGTATTTTACCGGCATGGTCGATATTTCAGGTTGCCTGACCGGTGCCAGTATTGCTATAATACCGGCAATACAAATGCCAGTATTTTTTTATGTGATTGCAATTAGACGCAATATCGCTGTCGGCCAGTAGGTGTGTGGAGAGAGGCAGGGACAGGAACTTCATCTCTCTGCCTCTCTCTATACTCTCAGTCCGCGGGGGAGCAACACAGCGCAGAGCCAGCAGCTCCTAGCCTGCAATCAGCCTACTGATCAGGTAAGTGAGTGGGGGTCCTAGTAGTGAGGTATGGGGGGGAAGAAACTAGATGGGGGACTCTAATAGTGAGGGATGGGGGGACACTTGATGGGGGGACAATAGTATTGAGGGATGGAGGGACACTAGTAGTGAGGGATGGGTACATTAGTTGGGGGCACACTAATAGTGAGGGATGGGGGCACATTAGTAGGAGGAAAGCTAGCTGTGTCCTTTGTTGGGACATCTATAACCAGTACACATTCAGTTTTTTGTTTTTTTTTCTGAATGGTGAGATTTGTGTGCTATGTGCTATTATGTCTATAAAGACAGATATCTTTATTAGAATTAACTACAGAAGAGTTTATAACTAGAGATATATAGATATATGTTAAGGCAGAGCCTGGAGTTGTGGGAGGGGTTTATCCGGCCTATTTATACCCAGACTTGCCTCTATTCAGTGCCGACATCGATCCAGACTCCTTAGCGACCACTTCCGGTTCCGGTCTGCCTCAGGTTTGCTCCCACCGATAAAGTAGTACCACACAGAACTAATCCCAGGAGACTACCGGCTTTCACCCGCAGCCAAGAACTACTTCCAGGCTCAGGGAGGGTACACTTCCCTGCAGGCGGTCCGGACAGACAGCCGCAAACTAAAACGACGCAGTCCACTCCCGTTGCTGCTTTATGGCGTCGCAATCGTACCGCAAGTTACAACGGTATCGTGAGTATCTCCGGATCAGCGCAGCTCTTCCAGGCAACCTCCCCAGTCCGAGCCACCTTTCAAGTCACAACATCTGGCTCAGATCCCACTGTGCACCACCCCCCCCTCCTCCATGGCCAGACCACCTCCAGACACACGTCGAACTTACTCTCCATCGCTCATAGTCACTGCTGGTTCTTGTGTGTCACCAATTTCTGACCCTCCCGCAGCTTCCGAGTCCCTATATCCTGCTTTCCGGGTCTGTTCGTCCCGCAGATCATGAGTTACCCATGCTGGGCATCATACACAGACTTAATTCGGCCATTAAACGGCACTAACACTGGGACTGACCTAACTTATTTAACTACCGAATACATTCCAGTCGGTCACAGTCACTTCTTTACATTCGGTCCACGATTTGACCACCTTTCAGCCAGTTCAGCCGCACGTTACATATTCACATTCCTTGTTCTTTGTATACTGCCCTCTTGCGGCCAGTCGTGCATGACAGCCTTGTCGGTTTAGTTTTGTTTTTAAATTGCATGATTATGTCCCTTAGTTTGCAAAATTGTTTGCTATTTACTTAGTCGTGTTCAGTCAAATTTACAGTGACATTATATCCACACAGCAAGTTCCATAATTAACGCTTATCATAAGCATATTCTGATGTTTCATATATATATGTTAATCCACTTCCCAATTAGGAGTGTTCCTTTCCTAGACATCATGCTAATTATCCTCCTATACATACATACCACTTGGTTCATACAACCTTACTATGTTAGTGCTTTCCAATTATGCACAGTATGGCCGCTAGGTTCACACTCGCGTTCGGCCACCATTTGCATTCCTGGGTTTTGGAGCCGCGGCTTTGTTAAATTCTGGTTGCACGTGGGTATGTATGATATACAGTCCTACATTAACACGTGCATTCTCTCATGCTCACTGGTTAGTACACTAGGTGCTTATGGAGTCACTCAAGGGGTCACACTGATCTCTCGACTCCCATTATATCTCACCTAATATTTGATTGTTCCGTATTCATGCTTACACTATCCACATGACACTCAGATGGCAGCCTACTAAGACATACTTTAGCCCCGCCTTTGGGCATTAAGTTCAATTTCCATTCTGCTTACATGGGTATGCGTATGCGGCTATAGCCACACATATGTACAGCCAACACTGAACCCGCACCATATAATTAATACATCCAATAAATCACGTACTACCTGTACGCGGCCACCTTGCCATTCAAGCATTACAATGGGCTGGGCCTTGGACTGTATACTTAAGTCACAGCTCTCCCTAGGCCTTCACAACTTACTTTTCGTATGGCAATCAGGGCGCTTAACGCTACAACTTACTTTCTGCCCCTCCATTTTGACATTACATATGGAAGCCGTACAGCTGCCCGGGATTATACACTGCTATAGCAAACCATGTTCAGAATACACCATCCAGTCAAACAGCCACACCTACCCAGCGGACTACACTCGGGGCATTCCAAAAGGACCAAATCCCCTCTTTACTTACGTCTATCCATCTTCCCTTATTATGCCACTTCAGCATTCACATTGATATACGTTATGGGCAACCACGTCACCTACATTATTTCACGTACCGATTTGTTGCAGTCATTCAATTAATGAAGTAGCCTGGTCACAGCCTGTAGACGGCCCGCCATTACATTATACAATTCTATTTTGTCTATCCCACCCCCTCCCTCCCCCACTACTCCTGAGGGACCAGCGCATATACCAGGAATCTTATACTGTCCATCCTGTGTTCTCGGGCCATTTTAATGCTCGCATGATTAACCAACGATAGCCCCACATAATGGATACATATATTGCAGCTCATTATACAGTTAGTCAGCTCCTATGTCAATTCTAGCCTACAAGAGTTAACTACCACTCTATAATACTGCAGTCAATCACTACTCACGGTCTCCCTCAATTTGTTCCAAACTGCCACCGCAGGCTACTCAGTACATCTTAATTATAGCTCCTCGAATGGGCAATTACACATGGCATAATCTCTACATTCTGGCACTTGGCCTTCAGTAATACCACTACGCACAGCCCTTGTGAGGCCATCGCTACCCACGTTACATATGGCCCTCCGCGGGCAATTCATTCCGACACAATTACGGCCCCTCATTTGGGCATTAACATACGACAGCGGCATCATTAGGCCCACTTAACGTACGACCCTCTCTCTCTGCATTTCTAAGTCCAGTTGCAGGCTTAAGGAATCTCTGACATTCATATAAAGAGTTGTTGTTTAAATACATGCTTCAGGTCCTTCAGAAATGCCTCTATACTCGGCCCTCACTTGACCATCACTACCTACATTATATACGACCCTCTCACTGCAGTTATGTGTACAGTCGCAGGCACTTCTTGTATATCTGATATTCTTTCCCAACAGTGAACTTGAGACATTGGTCAAATACATAAATCAGCTCCATCGGAAATACCCCTATATGCAGCCCTCACAAGGCCGTCACTACCTACGTAGCATACAGCCCGCCGTGGGCAATTCTCTACGACACTATGCCGGCCCCTCATCCGAGCTATTATGTACAACCGTGGCTTCATTGGACCCACTCAATTCCTTGTACGACCCTCTCTCTCTACATTTCTAAGTCCAGTCGCAGGCTTAAGGAATCTCTGCCATTCATATAAAGAGTTGTTTAAATACATGCTTCGGGTCCTTCAGAAATGCGCGGCCCTCACTTGACCGCCACTACCTACTTTATATACGGCCCTCCGCGGACAATCCACAACGACTCAGTTCCGGCCCCTCACTCGGGCCATTACATTTAACTGTGGCCTCATTCAGCCCTCTCAATTCCCCGTACGACCCTCTCTTTCTGCATTTAGGATTCCAGTCGCAGGCTCTTTACAAATCTATGAGATAGATATAGATAGATAGATATATATGTGTATATATATATATATATATGTATCTCAATAGTAAACCAGAGACGATGTTCGACTAAATACCTCAGGTCCTTCAGAAATACCGCTATACACGGCCCTCACTGGCCACCACTACCTACGTTATACATATGGTCCTCCATGGGGACTTCACCATGACACAATTCCCACCCCTCACTTGGGCTATCACATACGACCGTGGCCTCACTGGGCCCACTCAATTTCACGTGTGACCCTCTCTCCGCATTGTTAGTTCTAGTCGCAGGCACTTATTGTATCTCCGATGCTTGCCTTGACAGTGAACTAGAGACGTCGTTTAACACAAACTTCAGGTACTTCGAAAATGCCTCTACACACGACCTCACTGGGCCGTCAGTACCTACTTCAATATGCCACAGTGGACTAACGCCATATGAGCATTCTTGAAGCTAGGAAGTTGCTACCTATACATCTGTCACTGTGGCATTCACATGGTTCCAAATGGAAGGCACGTACTGTCTCGCCATGCGTCGGACGTTTTGGGCTATGAGTAGCCCTGAACTTTAGACATGTTCACGGAAACACTATGCCGGCTCCTCCAAAATATGTGAGCAACAGCCCGGTAGCAATACTCTACCCTGATGGTTTCCTCTGGGACGAGGATCCCAACAGAACCCCTCAAAGCATCACCGATACCATGGAACTATTCACCTCATCAGGAATCTCCCCTAACCGGCGAGGAACCAACAGGGCCTTCCACCAACCTAACCTTTTAGATATCCTCAGCAACCATGCTAGCCAGGTTACCCGACGATAAAGTACAACGCATCGGCAACGAGTGGCAGGGTTCTCACACATGAGTAATCGCTCCCGCAAAGACCTGCAATCCCTACTTGTCTCTCTTACCTTCACATTTCACGCAATACCATTCCTGATAAATATGCAGCAGGATACTCTCCTCTTTCCCACAGCACACACAAAAGCTAGGCTGATTTCTGAAAAGTTAATTTGCAATTAGTATCTTGCAACAGAGATGCTTCTATGAAGGCGCTCCCTTAGGGTACAGTTTCTCAAAAGGCATCAGCGGTCAGCAGATGCTTGCCAGGAATCAGAGCTAATGAAATTATTTAACTGCAAAAAGTTGAAATGGTACAAAGCTGTGGGCATGGTTGGCCGTAAGAGCAGGCAATCTCTGCAACTGGTGCCCAAAAAGAAGCTTTGGGGAATCTCATGGATGTGAATGAACAAAGCCCCCTTGGGTGAAAGGATTAGGCATTATGAAAAGAGAGAAGTGGAAACAAATAGCAAATCTAGTATGAAGGGTAGCTCACACCGGGCCACTTTCCTAGAAGCTGTTTCCTTTGCCAACCACAGTAAGGCCGGTCCCACAATCTCAGTTTTGACTGCTGGACAATGTCTACTGGGCTTGGACTAATGTAAAGTAGTTGTGTTGCCTTATTGTACATATAGTGACACGGCCAGCCTAGATCTCATTTGGAATTAGAAATGGAATTAGAAATGCACAGGTGCGAGTGGTTCAGCCTAGACTTCCTACCTACCCACACTTATCATACAATATAGGAAAAAAGCCTAATGGGGATAGGATTTTATGATTGATCTTCATTTTGATAACATTAATATGTTCCATGCAAGAGATATGAGGAGATGGCAATGCTCTCAAATCTTACTGTAAAAGATGCAGAGCAATATGAGAAAATTGACCTGGTATATGTTTTGCAGCAGTGAGGTGACCCAAACCTTTTATGTTCCCTTTTAAAGGGGACAGAGATGTTAAGGATCTCTGATTTATGAGCTTTAGATTTAAGACCCACACATTTCAAAATCAGGGAGTAGATTGGAGAGCATTATTGCTGGCTTCTCGTCAAAGAAGAACATGTAATCCGCATACGCAGCCACTTTATGCTCCACTCCACCAAACTGAAAGTATGAGATATCTGGGTTTGTTTGAATAGCAGAAAGAAAGGGCTCTAGAGATAACACAAACAAAATAGGGGACAAAGGGCAGCCCTGGTTGGTGCCGTTAGTACCAGGCACTTTTTGATTGGAAAAAAATATTAGCGTGACATTTATTTAAAAAAAGGGATGCATAGATAGGATATAAGGAAATGTAACAGCAATTATATGCATAGATTGCTTTGCAAACAAACTTAAAAAAAAGTTTTAACTTACACAAACTTATTTCTTCATATTTGTTCATCAGTTATAAAGAAATATTTGTGAAATGAAATACTTTACACAGTGCTTAGTGTCCTTTAACTTTCAATATATAATAAAGGGTCTGCAATGTTCGTATGTAAGCAAAATTTATTTATAAGCAAAATGCAATTTTTTTCATATACAGCAGATGTGACAAATATATAAGTACAAATGGTCAAATACCTAATAGGTATTTGCAAGGAAGCTGAAGGAATTACTAGCAGTACAGCTTACTAAAAATGGCAACAGAATGTAAAAATGTCTGCTCTTAAGGATAATGCTGACATAAAGTTAAATCATATATTCCTAAAATAAGTTCTGGAATACTAATGTAATGCCAACAGTGAAAGGTCTCCTCCTACTCCTTGACTGTAGGAATAGTAAAATCCATAAAAGCAGGGGTGAGCTTACATTTTCAGCAACTTTACAGGCATTGTATCATTAAGTAGTAGCTTCTGGCAGATACATTTGTTTCTCAACAGGCTGGTAAACCTAACTAGATTATAAAAAATAAATAAAAAAATTACAAAGTGAGCAAGGCTTTATTGTCCAGATTTCATACAAAATAAAAGTTTATTCTCGATTTTCGTATTGAGGAGCTTAAGTAGTTACTAATTGCATTCCTTACATTTTGAGTACGGCTCTCCATAGTAGTTTGTATTTTTATGCCAAGTTATATACCAGTAGGTGCCACAATATATGTTTAATAAGGAAGATATGGCAGACAATATACAGATTTAGTCAAATGTACCACACCAATCACAGGTCTAGTTCCTCTGAAGCATCATTGTGTTTTGACATGGCACAATGGCACAATATTGTATTTTGACATCATTGTGTTTTGACATGGCACAATAGTGGATGTATAAGATAGCTGGATCATTAGAGGTCGGTTATTAGCAAAATTTGGGGTCTTTTAAATAGAGTAATTTAAAGGTACACACTTAAATATTTATTCATTAGTTGTCAAGATGCACCATTGCTATAGTAATGTGTCTGGATAATGAGAATGAGTAATCAATTTTAACAAAGTTTAATATCTTAAAATCACCAGATAACTGCATTATGTGAGAACATTTAATATTGTGTGATAATACTTTGTAGGCACTGTAGTGTACTGGTTTGAAGCCACTGTCCTGCTAATTTATATAGGAGGGTGTGTTTAAACTTTTTGGAATACCCAATTATGCCATTAGCAAAGTCCCAATTAAGGGGTAAAATGTGTTTCGAAAATATTTGTTAATCAAGAACGTGATTTTAGCATCAATAGCACTTTTGAAGATCAACGACTCTAAGGTTTATATAGACCCAAAGGGAGAGCGTTAAGAGACTCTCATGCTGTTACAACTCCAAGGAAGACAGGTACCATGCTTATGAAAGCGGTGTCTATCTCAGCACAAATACTTGAGGGAAGACTTTTTAGTACTATAAGAAGACTTTAGTATGTATATGGATACATTTGTCTTTTTATTTATTTTCATTTTACTTCTATTGTATGTGTAATTTTACTAGGGTTGGTCATTTTCTTTTCTAATCTTTCAGGCTAAACTTTATCTACAACTCCAGAAAACTCAGAGATGTTGTGCAGAATGACTTGTTGCCCTCAGCGGAAATGGTCCTCGCTATGAGACGCGAGTTTGGAATTCCAGTTTCTTTGCTAGATATTTTTTCTGAAAGTGACAAGTTTTTCACTAACAAAGTGATAAAATCACAGAAAAGAAGTAAAACATCCCAAACTAAACAAAGTATGATGTGCTATTCAGTGGATAAATACAACTCACAATATATTAAATGGAAACAAGAATGTGACCAACATACAGACTACATCAAGGTATGTGTCTAGAATATACATTTTGTTATTATTGTTGAGAATATGGGCAAAAGTATTGGGATACACCTCTTAATTATTGAATTAAGGTGTTTGTCAGATCCAAATGTGTATAAACTCCAACACCTTGCCATGCACTCTGCATTTACAAACATTTGTGAAAAAAAAGGGTGGTTCTGAAGAGCTCAGTGAATTCAAGTGTGGTACTGTGATAGAATGCCACCTTTGCAATAAGTCAGCTTGTGAAATGTCATCTCTGCGAAGTAGTGTCATCGAGTCTTTGAGGTATGACCTCATGATTTTGACAGATGGCTATAGTAAAATGTCTATATATTCGGACAGATTAGATAATATAGAATTTATACCAGAGACAATAGGTCTACCTGGAGAATTCTTTTCATCTTTATGTATTTTGGGTAAAAAGTAGATTACTGGGATTTTGGGATGTGGGGTATGTTTAAATATTCAAACTCTTTTTTAGTGAGTTTAATTTTTTTTGTTAAATATAGAAAAATTAAGGTTAATAAGTCCAGAACTTAGGTGCTCCAATCACCAATGTGAGTCACTTATCACATAAAACAAATAAACCAATATACAAAGAATGTGAGTGGTGAGAGCACACTATATAACTTTACAACTTTACCCTTATTGTACATAAAATCCCATTGGGAATCTAAAACCAAGAAGAGAAAAAAACATATAGGGTAATAACGAAGCAACTATGATTATTAATACTGTAGATGGTCAAACTCACATGGTCATGAGCCACTTATAAAAGCTGGCTCAGACTAATGGCATGTCAAATCAGCGTTTGTAAAGTTGAACTCCAAGCTAGATTTCCTCTGTGGTCCTCAGTTCAAACTGCTTCAATCAATTCTGGATGCAGGAAGTGATGAAGTACAAAAAAACTTTTATTTCCACATACAATAGGTAGCTGGATACAAATAAAACAAACACTGATATTATAAAAAAGTCCACTTTAGAATAAAACTTGACGCGTTTCGGCATATAGCCTTTTTCAAAAGTTCATCCATCTTCCTCTTTCTTTCTCGTTTAAATACCTCTCTTTTGGCGCTCTTTTCTTCCCGCCGGCTGTGATTTCTTCTTTCTTCCGGTTTCCGGTATCTGGCCGCATCTACGCTGCTTTCCGGCGTCTGGCCGCATCCTCCTCAACTTCCGGCGGCATTCCTGATCGCGACGTCCCCTACGTATGACGTCACGACGTTCTCTTCGTATTGCCGTCGTGACGCATGTGTCAGGGGCGGGGCCTTCTGTGCTAAACTGAATTTCCTGAATTTCTCGTCAAAAACTTCAACAAAAGAGTACGATATATATGTGATACTTATCGCAAAAATTAATGGTACTATATATACTTTGGTTAATGTTTATGCACCAAATTCGTGCCCAGGGGACTGTGGCGGCAGTGGCGTAGCGTGGGTTGTCAGCACCCGGGGCAAGGCAAGTAATTTGCGCCCCCTAACCCGTGGATTTTAGCATTCGAGTCTCTTCCAATAGATTAGTTAAAGAAACCCTTACCCCCCAAGCATGTATTGTTTGTTATGAAAATACTTATGTAATTAAAGTAAAATGCATCTAAATACAAGTTTATTTTCCAACACTTTATTGAGTGCGAACATGCATTACACACATTCTCCACATTTTCAGCAGGTCTATGAATACAAATATACAAATGTAGTAACCTAGCATGGGCCATGCTATTATATGTCGTCTACATATCGTAAACGACAAAAAATATCAAGAACAAAAACTAAAAAAAAATCTCTGTATTACAATACAATACATGAACATATTGATTTACTGCACCCATCCCCTCCCCCTAAAAATACATTTCCACCATTACAGATTTTTTTTTTTATCTATACACATTGCATTTTACTACCCCCAACCCCTCCCCCTAAAAAAAATCTCTTTATTACAATACATGAACATATTGATTTACTGCCCCCACCCCCTCCCCCTAAAAATACATTTTCACCATTACAACTTATTTTGCAGATTTTTTGTTATATACACAATTAACACATTGCATTTACTGCCCACTCCTCCTAAAACTATAATTTACTTTACAAAAAAGAGAACAAGGAACACAACGTTCCAAGTCCCTGTATAGCCGCCGCACCCACCACCTCAAAACCTCCCCAAAAGGGGGGCAGTGGCTGCAGGGGTCACGCAGAGACCAACGTACCAGTATGAGACTCCAGCTGTCTCAGAGGGGCTTAACCCCAAATATAAACACAAGAACAGAGAAATATGCAGACCGTCTCAATTATATGAATGAAACTTACTGCATTGACTGGAAAAAATATATCTATGTATAGCGCGATGTTCCAAATATAGAACCTGGCTATTAGAAATAATATGGTCAGAGACCCTAATTAAACAAAGTATATACAAATGAACCTACAATCCTATGCCAGCCCAGGGTAGTATAGATCAAGAGGTAGTAAAAAAGATAACCTCACTCCCCCTTATAATTAAGCTTTATTGTGATCTGCTATAGGGATAGGAGTATACAGTAGCTAAGTCTCTATAATCCATGCATCCTAGGAAGTATCCTGGTCACACTAGAAACATATTAAGAAAAACAGAGAGAGATAAGGACTGAAAATAAAAGTAAAAAAATCAGTCAAAAACAGACTGATAATTAGCATTAATAAAGCCTCTCTCCCTGTAAAGCTAGCTAGATAGGCATAGGAAAGAAAAGAAGAAAATGATATAAAATAAAGTTAAATTAGATGGTGATCATGGTGCTCCAAACACCAGTGCCCAGTGCAGAAAAAACGCCCAACGTACGTTTCGGTGCAGAGAGATGCACCTTCGTCAGTCAATATAAAAAAATAAAAAAAAAAAATACTTACACTTCTCTGAACACTTTCTCTGAAGATACCTGCAGCTGCTCTCTCAGGATGCTCGGCTAGGAGAAAGGGTGTGAGGGTGTTCCTGGCGTACTTCAGGTGGAGGCTATGCGCATGCGCTGTTACCGGCCGTGACTCATTTCATGACATCACGGTGCGCGCTTGCGTTCAGGCGCAGGGGAGGTCAGAAGGAGGAGCCACCGAGCCAGTCCGTCCTACACTATACGGCAATGCCGGCCGCATAGTGAAGGATCGGAATTCTGTAGCCACGGCCGGCGAGGCTCAAGAGAGGCAGCTACTGCGAGTGCGAGCGCGCCCCCCCAGATGTTGCACCCGGTGCGGCCGGCCCCCCCTGCACCCCCCACGCTACACCTCTGTGTGGCGGAACCAACCTCGCCACTATGCACTGGAGAAGCCTGGTTGCCAGCCTCCTGCCATGTGACTATGGCCCCTGGGATGTATTGCCCTTTAAAGACATGATTTGGGCATAATGGATTTGTGTTGTGCTGCTGCTGGCCCTTTTAAGAACCATCTGGGGACATACTATGGAGTTACTGGGTGGCCACCATTTCCTGTATCAGAAGCACATGATGAGAACAATGGATGGCGGCCATTTTAACTCACAGACACTGTGTGGACTTTTCAACACGGTGCCATCTCGCCAGTATTTGTTGCACAGAGACATTGTGCGGTGGTTTTGGACTATACAGCAGGGGACACATTATACAGTGATTGTTTTTTATTTAGCCTGTATATGTTCTGCAGAATCTGCATTAAACTGTATTTTCCAAAGTACTGAACGGATCTGGGTGAATTTTGGATATGTGGTTCACCCAGATCCCCCAGTTCCAAGGATATACTTTTTATGGGGTTATTGCATGTTTTGGGGTCCCTGTGATGTGTTTTATGAAACTGTATTTCTCTGGCTGTGATAATTAGATTACCCATTGTGTTCAGTAATCATATCACAGCCAGAGGGGAGGATTTTGTGTGGGAGTGTCTGGGTGTATTGTATGGATTGATTGGCTGTTTTGTAGCGCCCTGTGGGCTGTACTATGTTTGTGGATTGGGAATAAAAGAGACTGTATGTGACAGTACAGGGAGTTCCTGTTTTAACCCTCAAAGTGAAGTGTTGTCTCATTATTGGGGGAAGGATTTATTGTATGCTGTTCCAGTTTGACTGCTAGGAGAGTAAACCTATTCGTATGGTTCCTATTCAACTGTCTACAGCATTCATATGCTTGAGAAAAGGTATACGCTTCTCTGGTTCGGTGATTGTGGTGTCTGCTGCAGTGCTTGGAGTCCTCAGGAAGCGCTAGGAGCATCTTTCAACGGAGGTACCCAGTCGGGGTGCCAGGCGATCCGTTACATGACTTTTTGGATAAAATTATGGAAAAGGTTGATGAATTAGCATGTGGTAACATCATAATTGGGGGAGACTTCAACTGTGTATTGGATCCAACACTGGATAAAAGTTATAAAAATGTTAGAGATTACAAATTTGCAAATACCTATGTTTCTGATTTTTCTAAATTTCTAGATTGGAATTCTCTATTTGATTGTTGGAGGATTTTGAATCCTAGTGAGAGAGACTATACTTTTTTTTCACATGTCCATCAGACCTATTCTCGAATAGACATGTTTTTGGTGAAAGCGGGGTTTCTGAGCTCTATTATTAAATCCAATATTGGATCCATAGTTATATCAGACCATGCACCAGTATTCATTAAGGTTAAGTTAAAAGGTGGTCATAGACCAAGGACAAGGTGGAGACTTAATGAAAGCCTCCTGAAATCAGAGTGCAACATTGATTTTTTGTCATCTGAAATTGAAAACTTTTTGATCACCAATGATAATGGGGAAGTTTCTACGGCAACGGTATGGTGTACCCTTAAAAGTTTTACAAGGGGATTATTGATTAAACTTGGTTCAGAATCTAAAAGGAAGAAGGGGGAATCTCTTCAAGAGTTAAGAATAAAATTGGTAAATAAGGAACGTCTAAATAAAAATAGGGTGAATAAAGATTTAATTGAAGAAATAGCTAAGTTAAGGGAAACTATCAAAGATAGAATTTATGATACGGTTAATAAAAATATACTATTCCTTAAACAAAGAAGATGGTACCATAATAATAATAATAAAATAAATAAAGACCTTTCTAACAAAATTAAAAATAATCTCAAAGATAAATTTATAAAAAAAATTGTTTTAGGTGATAAACATTTAGTGTCACCAAATGATATTGTAAATGCATTTGCGGAATTTTATAAATCTTTATATAACCTAAAGGAAGTAGGGAGGAGTAGAGAAGAAATGGATACATTTTTGAGCAACCTTAAATTACCAAAAATTAATCAAAGGAAGTTGGAATTGCTGAATGCCCCATTCTCACTATCAGAAGTAATAGATAAGTTAAAATCGAATAAGGCTCCAGGCCCAGATGGCTTCTCATCAATGTTTTACAAAACTTTTTCTAGACTCATTTCCCCTATCCTCTTAGAGATGTTTATGAAGGCGTCCGCGGATACCCCCTTCCCCAATGAGATGCTATTGGCTTCAATCATTCCTATACCCAAAGTAGGGAAAGATCCAACACTTATTACTAACTATAGACCTATATCTCTTATTAACTTAGATATAAAGATATTCTCTCAAATATTATCTAACAGATTTAAAAAGGTAATCGGAGAACTGATTGACGTTGATCAGTCTGGATTTGTGCGAGGGAGAGGTACTACAGATAATACACGTAGGACATTTAATTTAATACATAGAATAAATGAGCATAAATGGGGATCTGTTATTATGGCTCTCGATGCTGAGAAGGCCTTTGACAGAGTCAATTGGAGATTCCTGGACTCTGTCATGGGCCAATTTGGCTTAGAGGGTCAGTTTAGACATAAAATTATGTTGCTATATAGGAATTCTACAGCTAAAATAATTAACCCTCTTGTTGAGTCTGTCCACTTTGAGGTCAAAAATGGTACTAGACAGGGTTGCCCTTTGGCTCCCCTGTTATATATTCTTACAATTGAACCTTTGGCCACTTTGATTAGACAGGATATTAACGTAAAGGGGGTCAAGTCTCTCAATGGGAAAACCAAGGTTTCCCTTTTCGCAGACAATGTCCTCCTTACTCTGACGGATCCAATGGTTTCAATCCCATCGGTATTGGATGTTATATCCAACTATAGTAGTTTTTAACTACAAGATCAATATGAAAAAAACTCAAATTTTAGCCTCTTTTTTATCTGAGGCTCAGAAAGATCTTCTGACTGCACATTTCCATTTCTCGTGGGCAAAAGATACTATTGGTTATTTGGGGATTAAAATATCCTTTGATATAGAGAGGACGATACAAACAAACTATGATACATTATTAAGAGATTTGCAACAATTGGTAGACAATTGGAGGAAGATTGAGTCCTCATGGATAGGTAGATTAAATATGACCAAGGCATTTCTGATACCTAAACTTATATATTACTTTAGGGCGATTCCTTATAGATTGGGGAAAGGTATTCTTAATCGTTTTCAAACTTTGATTTCTAAATGCATTTGGGCAAATAAACCACCTAAGATAGCTTTTGACACTCTTCGAAGGAGCTATCAGAAGGGTGGTATAGCATTTCCAGATGTTGATAAAATTCATGAAGCATGTATGGCGACTCATCTTTTACAGTGGCTAGACAAGGAACAGGGATCCATATCATGGCTTACCCTAGAACAGGAGGATAGCCCTAAACATAAATTGTTTGTTCTTTTTTGGATGGGTTTGTTAAATTTGGGTGAATTGGATACCAAGAATTTTTCGAACCGGATATTGATAGATATGATCAATACTTCTAGAATTCTAAATAAGAAATTGAAGTTAGAAGATAAATTATTATATAGAGTTCCACTAGTGGTCCTACAACATATAATGGATAATATAAATGTTCAGCCTTGGATACATCTAGGTATAGTGAAGATCTCGGATTTATGGGATGGATTTAAACCCATCCCATTTATACAATTGCAAGAAAAGTTTAATCTTTCCCCTAGAGATCTTTTCCAATATCTAAGGATTAAGAATTTTATACTATCTCGGACTATACTTAAGGACCACAACGTTAATCCCCTTATTATATTATATAAAAAGAAGGCAGGGATCTCTAGATTTATCAAGGTGCTAGAATCAATGGAACAAGACTCTCATGCTACCTCCTTTGTTAAATGGGAACAAGATATTGGGGAATCCTTTTCACTTCTGGAATGGACTACACTCCTGGTTAAACGTAGTATACATAGTGTCTCTCTTTATGAAACACATTTAAAGATAATATATAGGTGGTATATGGTACCGGCTAGACTATATAAGATATCATCTGCCCATTCTAAGAATTGTTGGAGATGTGGAAAGGAGGAGGGCACTATTTACCATATATGGTGGGAATGTCACGGTCTTGATAATATAAAAACTCAAATGCTTGGCCTTATTAATTCTATTTTTAAGGAGATAAAAGAAATTAGCCCTCAACTTTTTCTCTTTAACATTGGCTTTCCTTCGCAGGATAAATATCAAAAATATCTCTTGACTCATATATTTTTTGCCATTAAAATATGTATAGCTAGGGCTTGGAAATCTGCTATCCCATTAATATGGCACAATATTATGGAGCAAATAGATTATCAATATAGGATGGAATTAAATCCCTTTTTTGGTATTAGAGATGTGGCCAAACTATGGTTACCCTGGACAAACAGACAGAATTCATGATGACATATTTTGGTTCCCCCTTATCGAGTCTCAGAGGATGTATTATTTGTATTATAATTATTTACATCTTTATATTTTTTTTTTTTCCTATCAATGTGACAATTATATCATGGAAATTTCTGGTGTTAATTCTTTGAGAGTGATTGGCAATGGTCAAATGTAGTGTGATTGAATATACATCGGGTGTACGACGGTTTTCAATGGAAACACTGCACTATTTGTGGAATCATTTGATGCCTAATTTTAATTTTTTTTTCAGTGCCTTTATCACAATATACTGCCAGCTTATCCATACTATTAGCAGTTATATTGATGGTTTTAATCTTTCTTTCTTTTTTTTGCCTTTTTTTTTTTTTTGATTGTTTGTCTAACTTTGGTTGTCTTCTATAATATGTATTTCTGCATATGGTTGTCTTAATGTGCTGGAGGATTGCCTTTGGTGTACCTCACATGCAAATGTTAAAAAAAATTTATATGACAAAATAAAGAAATATGAAATGTTAACAAAAAAAAAAAAAAAAAGAGAGAATGGTATTTTAAATAAAAAGGAATTTTTAAATGTTAAGTTCCCAAAAATTTCTGTATTTTATGTACTTCCAAAAGTACATAAAGATGCAGACAATCCACCAGGGAGACCTATAGTCTCCGGTATAGGATCCCTTTTAGCTCCACTTTCAAAATATATAGATCAGTTTTTACAAGATCCTGTTAAGAAATGTAGAGCGTATCTTAAAGATACAATAAGTCTTTTAAATATTTTGAATGATTTTCAGTGGAAAGAAAATTATATTTTGGCAACCGCAGATGTGAGTAGCCTATATACCAATACTGATCACAGTAAGGGATATGAGGCTGCAGCGTATTTTTTGAGAAAGTTTAGTGACCTGTCCGACATTCAAATAAATTTTATTATAGAAGGAATAGAGATAATACTCAAAAATAATTTCTTTTGGTTTGATAATAAATTTTATTTACAAATTAAAGGCACGGCTATGGGGACCAGATTTACCCCAAGTTATGCCAACCTTTTTATGGCGTATTGGGAAGATCTTTTTATTTATAAGGATGAATTAATTGGGGCAAATCTGGTCCTCTATAAACGTTATATAGATGATGTGTTTTTAATATGGAAAGGTAGTGAGGAAACACTCAAGACACTTTTTAATAATTTAAATAATAATAAGTGGAATATTACCCTTACATATGATATCAGCTGCCAGACTATTAATTTTTTAGATTTAACAATTTTTATTGAACAACAAAAAATTAAAAGTAAAACTTATTTTAAGTTGGTTGATGTCAACAGTTTTATTAATTGTAATAGTTGCCATTTTAGACCATGGCTAGAGAATATCCCAAAATGTTGCGAGTTAAAAGGAACTGCACAGAAAATAAAGAGTTTGTACAGCAAACAGAAAGATTAATGGGACAGTTTGAGGAAAAAGGATATGAAAGTAGTGTTTTGGAAAAAACTTTTAGAGAGATTGAAAAAATTGATAGGCAAACACTTTTACAATACAAAAATAAAGTTTTGAACCAAAGGGAAGATGAGGAAGTACCCCTTATTTTTTATTTTAGCTCCAATAATAGGGACTTGAGAAAATTTTTTTATAAAAATTGGCATATTTTAAAAACTGATGATAGGTTAATCAATTTTATAAAGGATAAACCAAAAATTATTTTTAGAGGGGCAAGGAATCTTAAACAAGTTTTAACAAAAAGTTTTTTAGATATTGATAAGAAAGAGAATTTTTTTAAACAACCAAATGGATTTTATTATTGTGGAGATTGTAGGGGTTGTAAAACAACAAAAAATAGGACCTATAAAAAGATCCTGAATTTCTTGTCAAAAACTTCAACAAAAGAGTACGATATTAAATCTTTTATAACATGTAATAGTAAAGGGGTGATATATATGTTAATCTGTCCATGTGGACTACAGTATATAGGGAGGACTTCCCGCAGTCTTAAAATTAGGATCAGGGAACACATTTATAATATTAATCGTAAGTTTGTGAATCACAGTGTTTCTAAACATTTTATGGAATATCACAATAGTGATCCGAAACACCTAGATTTTGTAGGAATTGAAAGAGTAGATATACATTGGAGAGGTGGAGATAAAGAAAATTTACTTAATAGGACAGAAATGAAGTGGATTTTTAATATGGATACTTTAATGCCACAAGGTCTAAATGTGGACTTTGAGATCACCCCATATTTATAAAGTTTATAAAGTTAATTTAATTTTAATTACCATTTTCTATATATTAAAAAGTTTTTTTTAAATAATATTTTTTTTAAAAATTTAAATTTTTTATTTTTAAACCTTGTTTGTAAGTTTTTATTAATATATGAATTAATATATTATGTAGTGATTTTCCTTTAGAAGACCCCCTATATATTATATATGGTTATATAGATAATCATATATATATATATTTTTTAATTATATATTTACTGTATATAATTGTCACGGTCCACGCCGTGACATCCAGTCTGCCAGACGTGGTCGCTCTGGAAGCGCCCGATAGGGGATTTGAACTGTGGTTCTTCTGGACCATATCCTGCTGTTCTTCCTCTGAGCCATTTCAGGACTTTGGATAACTCCCTGTTTATTCTTGTATTGCCTGCAGCACCAGGGGGCTGGACTTCACCAAAGGCTCTGATCTGTCAGTAACTCTCCAGCTGAATCTGATCCTAATTAACAGGATATAAAAGCCTGCCTCACCCTGGGAGGGGTGTCAGTTCATTGACTCTGGTTCTCTTGTTTGGTTCCTGTTACTCCGTACCTGCGTTCCAGTGATTCTTGGCTTTCCGGCTTCTGACCTTGGCTTTCCTCCTGGACTACTCTGACCTCTGGCTTCCCTGATTTTGGCTTCCCTTGACCACGCTTCTGCTTATCCCTGCTGTACTGAGTCTTGGAGCACCTTTCCTGGAAAGCCCCCGTGCACAGACTAACAGGCCAGGTGGCGTCTTACCTGGTCACCCTGGTCTGTGTCTACTTTGCAAGGGTGAGCGTATAACTCTGCGAGCTGGACTCCCTATCAGGTAAGACTCCGTTACAGATGAACTGAACATGGAGTCTGCAGAGTTATACAAGTTACTCACCTCCCTGGCCGAGCAAGTCTCCAACCTGTCCCAGAATGTTACAGATTTACAGAGACATTCATTGGCATTTAAAGGAGCAACGCTTCCAGTCCCGGAACATGTATACCCAGAACCGTATGTCTTTATGCCTGACAGGTTCGACGGTTCCCGTTCTACTTTTCCGATGTTCAAGACGGATTGTGAGCTACTATTTGCCCTGAAATCGAGAACCTACGCCACCGACTTTATCAAAGTACGCTCCGCTATTAACCTATGTACCGGGCGAATTAAGGCGTGGGCACACCAGAAGTTGCAGGAGAGAAGTACTGTCTTGGACTCCTGGGAGTTGTTTATGTCCGCAATGGATTCTCAGTGTTTTGCAGCAAGAAAAGCAACTTCCAAACCCATTTCAGGTCCTCGCAGAACCCGGTTGCCTAGAGAAGAGGAATTGTTTTATGGATACAAAAATCCCATTTTGTTGCAGCATGAACCCACTTTCAAGGACCCGCCTTGTAACCCTGTTTACACTCGAGCTAGCAGTGAAACTCCAGTCGACATGGAGGAACCCATGGAGATTGGCTTCACCAGGACTAGATTGTCCCCTAAGGAAAAGGACCGCAGGAGAGCCCATGGTCTATGTCTATACTGTGGGAAAAGAGGGCATTTCATATTGCTTTGCCCGACTCGTCCACCTAGGCCAAGACCCCTTCTGTCTGGTGCCATATGGACTTACCCTGTCATCCCAGCAAGACAGCCTGGACACTGCCAGCCCTGTCCCCGTCCTGTGACACAAAAGGGTACCCAAACTAATACTGTTAATGTTACCAGTACCTCTGTGGAAACTTCACCTCTTGCTCTAGAAAAATTTGGACCACTTCCTGATAACACTTCTGTTCAAGCAAGCACCATCACCACTTCCTGCCTTGCCAAAACAGTTCTGCCTCCTGACTGCACCTATGCCTCAAATGGCACAGTTGTGTGTAAACAAGATCTAGAAATATTCGAAAAGGCTTTGAAAGCTGCAAATGCCTCCCCTATAGCACCCGAAACTGGTACCATAAAGTCCCAGTCTGTAGACTTTGATTACAAAGACTATCTTAGTGATACTGATACTGAAGATGAAGAGTACCATTTCCAGGAAGAGCCTGTTCACGCCCGGAGGGCGTTCTTGACGGGGGGGTACTGTCACGGTCCACGCCGTGACATCCAGTCTGCCAGACGTGGTCGCTCTGGAAGCGCCCGATAGGGGATTTGAACTGTGGTTCTTCTGGACCATATCCTGCTGTTCTTCCTCTGAGCCATTTCAGGACTTTGGATAACTCCCTGTTTATTCTTGTATTGCCTGCAGCACCAGGGGGCTGGACTTCACCAAAGGCTCTGATCTGTCAGTAACTCTCCAGCTGAATCTGATCCTAATTAACAGGATATAAAAGCCTGCCTCACCCTGGGAGGGGTGTCAGTTCATTGACTCTGGTTCTCTTGTTTGGTTCCTGTTACTCCGTACCTGCGTTCCAGTGATTCTTGTCTTTCCGGCTTCTGACCTTGGCTTTCCTCCTGGACTACTCTGACCTCTGGCTTCCCTGATTTTGGCTTCCCTTGACCACGCTTCTGCTTATCCCTGCTGTACTGAGTCTTGGAGCACCTTTCCTGGAAAGCCCCCGTGCACAGACTCACAGGCCAGGTGGCGTCTTACCTGGTCACCCTGGTCTGTGTCTACTTTGCAAGGGTGAGCGTATAACTCTGCGAGCTGGACTCCCTATCAGGTAAGACTCCGTTACAATAATGTTGGGTTGATCTCAATTCCCCTTTCACATATATGTATATATATGTTTTTAAATTCATGAATACAAACATGTTGTTAATTCACATATATATAATTCACATATATATATAATTAATTTTTTTTCCTTTTTATCCTTTCCTGTTTAGTATATCCGGATAGTTTAATTTTAAATGTATAATTTTAAGGTTATAAGATGTATAATGTGGGGTGGAATTGGATGTAATGTTTGCATTTTTGCCCTTTCTGGACGTTTGTAAGATCCATTTCTAAAGAGGGCAAACTAGTTTAGCACAGAAGGCCCCGCCCCTGACACATGCGTCACGACGGCAATACGAAGAGAACGTTGTGACGTCATACGTAGGGGACGTCGCGATCAGGAATGACGCCGGAAGTTGAGGAGGATGCGGCCAGATGCCGGAAAGCAGCGTGGATGCGGCCAGATACCGGAAACCGGAAGAAAGAAGAAATCACAGCCGGCGGGAAGAAAAGAGCGCCAAAAGAGAGGTATTTAAACGAGAAAGAAAGAGGAAGATGGATGAACTTTTGAAAAAGGCTATATGCCGAAACGCGGACCCTTAGATAAAAATATTGATAGTTTTTTTTTATAGTTTGGGTGGGGTCTGAAGATAGTTCACCATATACATTCTGATCGTTTAGTTGTCTTTTTCTTTTGTTTGATTTTGTCTCAATCATGTAGTACCAACTTCTCAAACACCTCTATAGGGCCTGACTTAAAACTGGATGGGTAAAAATTGGAACATTTTTTCAGCAAGGTACTTATTACTTGAAGTTTGTTTGTAGTGCATGGGTCTGAGGTAGAGTTGCTTGGGGTGTTGTTGGGGGAGATTGTTTCCCAGACTAATTTATACGCTAGCCAATTTAGTGATACCAATCCAGGTAGCTATACAGTCAGGGAAAATGCTTGGCATCCCACAGATGTCCCTGAACTTAAAAAATTCTGGGCTCTTACAATGCTCATGGGGATTATAAGGAAGCCATCAATTCGCTCTCACTGGATCACCAACCCAATCTGTTCTAGTCCGGTGTACTCCCAAACAATGTCTAGAGCAAGATATGAGCTGCTGCTGCTGAGATATTTGCATTTTAATGATACCCCAAAGATCACCCCCAATATGATACGCTTCATAAAATACGCCCAGCACAAATTTTCTGAAGTTTATACTCCTAGGGTTCAAGCAATATATCCCCTCAAAGCACTCTAGGTATGGCGTTAAAGTGTACAGACTGTGCAAGCGCGAAAGTGGCTACACATTTGCCTTTCATGTATATGAGGGGAAAGATGGTCAACTGAACCTTCCTGGCTGTTCTGACTCTCTGGGTACAAGTGGGAAACTTGTTTGGGACCTACTGATCCCCTTGTTCAATAAAGGTTACCACCTGGCACCCTGACTGGGTACCTCCATTGATGGATGCTCCTAGCTCTTCTTGAGGATTCCAAGCACTCTAACTGACACCACAACCACCGCAGGCCGAACCTCTCTTCCTTCAGAGCGAAGCCGGAACGAGCTCTTAAAAGAGCTTAGGAGTGATTATAGCAAGGGAATATGCAGAGCATAGCAATTCCTTGTAGCAGATTCCCCCAATAAGAGACTCCAAATTGAAGGTGAAGTAGAACTGTCTAAAACTTTATTTTACTTGGGACTAGCCCATCTGGTCATTACATGAACATTGCTGTGAAAACTCAATAAAATTGCAAACAGTCAAATCATAGCAGGCAACATACAGTGACTTATTATAACATAATTACATATTTATAAATGGGTGGGGAAGACCATAATTAACACAAAATGTCTCTCCTGCATGCAGAATTAGCGATATGCAAATCTACCCGAATATGCAAATTACCAGTCTTGCTATTCAGGTAGTGCATATTGCTGTTGCTACCAACCAGCTCCATAGCCAAATCCACCTAGTTGGTAGCAATCCTCAGCAGTACAGGAGAGCAGGCAATACATCCCAGGGGCCATAGTCACATGGCAGGAGGCTGGCAATCAGTCTTCTCCAGGCACAAGTGGCGATGTTACTTTCGCCACACCACCTTTATGTGGACAATTTTTACAACAGTGTCCACTTGTTTAAAATTATTTATGGTTTGCAGACACTGGCCTGCGGCACTGTGAGAAGAAATTCCAAGGATTTCCACAGACCTCTCATAGAGGCCAAATTTTAAAAAAAGGGTGAATGCAAAGCTCTACACAAAGCTGAAGTGCTTGCAATAAAAAAGGATGTTCACATGCTAACCACCGTCCATGACGAAAGGATGTCAGACGTCACTGCCCAAAGCAGAGTACAGACCAAACCTGTTTGCATCAGGGCTTGTAACAGGCACATGGGGGTGTTGATTTGGCTGATCAGCTGATCATATCTTATATTAAGAAAGACAAAAGCCTGGTATAAAAAGGTGGCTATCTACCTGATGCAAGTAGTAACACACAATTCATTTTTACTCTTTAAAAAAATGAATCTAGGAAAAAAACACCTTTCTCCAATTTCAGCTCAAGCTGATTTCCACAATAATTTATGGAGATGGTCAAGTTCCAACAACGGTGCCAGAGGAGTACAGACATTTTATTTTTAAGATACCGCCAACTGCAAAAAAAACAAATCCCCAAGGTTTGTTATAAAAAAGGGAACAGGACAGACACCCCTTTTCACTGTCCCGATTGCCCTACAAAACCTGGACTGTGTATTGGAACATGTTTTAAGCTCCACCACAAAGAACATACATTTTTATAATACTTGGTCCTCATTTTTTTTATTTATTTTTATTTTTTTTATTTTGCAAGCGGCAAATTTCTGTTCGTCAGTATCCTTCCCCAAAATCTCCAGTTAGATTATTTTTGCAGGAGTTAGTTTAGAGATTGCTGCTAACGGAAGTTTTAGTCTCATTTAGTCTGTTTTTATCAGTTTTAGTCTGTTTTTAATAAAAAAATACAAAATTGTGTGTTAGTAACTCTGTGTTAGTCAGACTCTGACGCCACTGACACTGCGTCCGATTTTGACCCAGGTCAGTTTTCTGACACATCTAGTGACATGTCATCTGTGTGTGAGCCGGCTGCAAAAAGAAGCCATGCTTTCTCTGCTACGCCGAATGTGGAGGAAGAATGGGAACATTTAGCTGAGCCCAACATCCCCCTCTTTTAGTGCCAACAAAGGCATTAATGTCAATGTGGATGACTTCTACCCTATGCAATATATGGAGCTATTTTTAGGGAATACCATCTGGGAGGAGATTGCTCCCCAGACTAATTTATATGCTACCCAATTTATTGATACCAATCCAGGTAGCTATGCAGTCAAGGAGGAGCATGCTTGGCATCCCACAGATGTCGCTGAACTTAAAAAATTCTGGGCTCTTACAATTCTCATGGGGATTATAAAGAAGCCATCAATTCGCTCTTACTGGAGCAACAACCCTATCTGTTCTAGTCCTGTGTACTCCCAGACCATATCTAGAGCAAGATATGAATTGCTGCTGAGATATTTACATTATAATGACAATACCCTCTGTCACCCCAGAGATCACACCCAATATGATAGGCTTCATAAAATACGCTTCATAAAATACGCCCAGCACAAATTTTCTGAAGTTTATACTCCCCAACAAAATTCATCCATTGATAAATCCTTAATGAAATATAAAGGGAGATTAGGATTCACACAATACATCTCCTCAAAGCGCTCTAGGTATAGCGTAAAATTCTACAAACTATGTGAGAGCAAAAGTGGCTATACATTTGCCTTTCATGTATGAGGGGAAAGATGGTCAACTGGACCCTCCTGGCTGTCTCGACTCTCTGGGGACAAGTGAGAAACTTGTTTGGGAACTACTGATCCCCTTGTTCAATTATGTGGACAATTTCTTATAGCAGTGTCCGTTTGTTTCAAACTCTTTATGGTTTGAGATACTCGCCTGTGGCACTGTGAGAAGAAATGCCAAGGATTTCCCCAGATCTTTTATAGAGGCCAAATTACAAAAAAAGGTGAATGTAAAGCTCTACACAAAGCTAAAGTGCTTGCAATAAAATTTAAGGACAGGGAGGATGTTAATATACTAACCACCATCCATGACGAAAGCACAGCAGATGTCACTGTCCGAGGCAGAGTACAGACCAAACCTGTTTGCATCAGGGCTTATAACAGGCACATGGGGGGGAAGGGGGTGTTTATTTGGCTGATCAGCTGATGCAGCCATATCTTATCTTCAGAAAGACAAAAGCCTGGTATAAAAAGGTGGCTATCTATCTGATGCAAGTAGCAGCCCACAATTAATTTTTACTTTAAAAAAAATGAATCCTGGAAAAACCACCTTTTTCCAATTTCAGTTCAAGCTGATTTCCACAATCATTTATGGAGATGGTCAAGTTCCAATAACGGTGCCAGAGGAGTCCAGACATTTTATTTTTTAGATACCGCCAACTGCAAAAAAATCAAATCGCCAGAAACGTTGCTGGGTCTGTTATAAAAAAGGGAAAAGGACAGACACCCCTTTGCACTGTCCTGATTGCCCTTCAAAACCTGGACTGTGTATTGGAACATGTTTAAGCTTTACCACACAGAACATACCTTTTTGTAAGAATTTTTATTTTTGTTTCTTTTGAAAGCGGCAAATTTAAGTTAGTCAGTTTCGTTCCTCCAAATCTCCAGATTCTTTTTGCAGGAGTTAGTTTAGAGAATGTTGCTAAAGGTGCATTTGATACCTGCACATTTGGTTAAAAAAGTTTTCTGGCAGTAACATATAACTGGCCGGCCAAAACCAGATGACGTGTGCATAAAAAGCAGAATTCAAATATTACTCATATGCACATTCTCTGAAATTTGTTTAGCACAATGGATGGGTGAAGGATGTGAAAACACCCCATATACAATACCCTGGAATGTCTACTTTATTTAAATATAACCTTTAATGATGTTAACATTAACTGGGGGATGCAAAAATATGCCAAATTGAAGATAGGCCAACAGACATGTATATGTTTTGATCGTGGCCTTTTAGCCCCCAAACAACCCAGCGAACCTATGCATGGGTGATATCACTGGACTCAGGAGATGTTCCTGAACACATAATGGTGGTAGAATTAGTGCATAGAAAGTGTTAAAATACCACCATTTAAAATACCCTGGGTTGTCTACTTTTCAAAAATATATGGTTTGATGGGGGTAAAATACATTGGCATGCCTTACAAATGTCCCAAATAGGACATGTGCGCAGGTTGACTACATGTCAAAATTCCAAGTTGGAAAATGGATATGTGCACCTGCCAAATGTGGCCTTTTAGCCCCCAAACAACCCGACAAGCCTATGTATGGGTACTATCACTGTACTCAGGAGATGTTGCTGAATACATATTGGGGTGTTGTTTGGCAGTGACACAAACACTATCTTGTTATTCATGCCTAAAGTACAATGTGTGTGAAAAAAAAACAAAAAAAAAATTACTACCTAAAAGTTTGACAAAGTCTGGTGGTAGAATTATTGCATGGAAAGTGATATAATACCACCATTTGAAATTCCCTAGCGTGTCTACTTTTGAAAAATATATGGTTTGATGGGAGTAAAATACATTGGCCAGCCTTACAAATGTCCAAATAGGACATAATATAATATAATATATAATATAATTTACATGCTCCAGTATTTAAGTCAGAGTATTACTTTCATATCTATTCATACTTTATCATCTGCCCATAATATTGATTCTATAAACATGTTAGGTTAAAAAAAGGGATTTTTTTTCTCATTTACTGACAATCCATCTTTATATATTACAAATTGTATAATAATCTCAAGCTTATATTGCTCAAATATTGAAAGTATTGTTTTTGTCTATCAGGGTGGAATTTATTAGCACCCCTGGTTACTGCATAATGCATGCTTATTTATGTCGTATTATATTTTTGACGATAAGAATCCTTTTAAAGAGGCCAAAATACCTAAAAATAAGAGATGGATAGATGAAGAAGAATAAAACAGGGACTATGTGAGGTTCCTTCCCTCATTTTTGTCTTCTATATATACCTTGATATCTATTCTATATATACCTTGATATCCATTGGATCTGAATACCATCCAAGTCTGGAAATAATGTCACCATAATCCCACTTAGGGTAGGTGGTTACATTTCCACTACTTTGTAAACTCAACTTTTGTTGTTAATAGCTTTATTGGGCTCTTTTCTAAACATTAACTTATGTTACATACAACACATACTCCAACTGGAATTAAATGTTGTATGCCTTTCTGAGGAAATTAGCAAAAATATAAACACCCTCACAAACAACACCATTCACTTTATCACACAACATATGTCTGGCCAATCAGTGCATTAGATGAGTGTTGGAGATATTCGATGTATCAAAGTAGAAATATTTCTAGTTACTAAAGAACAGAGAACATGTATTTTTTTTTTTACAGGACAATATTGAAAAGATACATCATCTGAGCAGACCTGTATCAAAGGCTACAAACAAGTATATTGAAGTCCCAGATGACAGTGGAGTGCCTCATAATTACAGCTGTCAGACTTTCAATTCCTTCCAATGTGCGCAGAATATTTTACAGCAAGAAATGGCAAAAGTAAGTCTTCAGATCCTTTTTGGTCATTTCTAAAACCCAACCTATTACCAAAAAAACAATACATTGTAAGATTTAATTGTGATCAGCAGGACCTCCACTTTCACTTCAATTGTCATGCTTTTGGAAAATATCTGCTTTTGCACAGCTGCTTGCACTACAAATATTGTAAAGTAAATTGATATAACTGGCATTTGATAAACATGTAATTCCTGGTGCAAACGAAATGTTATTTTGACCTTTGGTTTTGCCACTGGATAGCAGTTCTTGAATATCAGAATGCTTCATTACCCCTATAGACGGGACATTGAAAGAGTGCCTGTATACATTTAATAGTAAATGTTAATGTTGATAATATTTGAAAGCCCTCTTGTGATAGCATCTCTCTTAACTAAGCTTTTGACTAAACATTGCTTCCTCTTAATTTCCTCAGACATAATGGCATTCTGAAGTCAAATATCAGATATCCAGAATCAACAATAGACATTGCACTTACTGCCACTTAAACTGTAAAAACTATAGGTCATACAATTCTACAATATTTTTCTATTGACCCAAAACACTTCTCATTTCTTTTCTTGTGCTCTCTGGAATGCTTGCTCTGTATGTAACTAACTCAAAGCCATCCATGACCTGTTCGTTTTTTTCACCTCTTAACAATTGGCGATACCTAACTATCTTTTTCTGACACTGCATCCATTGCTGCTCTCTAACACGGCGGCCTACTCTCTAGCCATACCCTTAGGCTAGGTGGGAGACATAATGATGGTGTTGCTCCTTCCCTTCTACACCTTTAACAACTTTTCTTCTCTGCCATTTTTCCTCTTTTAAAGTTCACTGCATTTACCTATTCTCCCCCATCTCTCATAGAATGGCAGTGATTTATATCCATCCTGGACCAACCTCTGTAAACTTTACCACCTGTCTACCTCACTTACTCTCTTCAAATGTACCATTGCTAATACTTAGGTACTTCAACATCTCCATTTATAACTCATTTGCCACTTATTCCTCTTTCATTCGCATCCTCGTTCGGTCTCTCTCAATCCACTCAATCTTTTCCCATTTCAAATCACCACTTCTTGCATGTTGCTCAGTGTATTGGCTTAACCGACTTTTCCTCAATCTAGCCCTCACACCCTTAGAAATGTGCATGCTGTAAGATGCTCTCCAATTATCTAAACGGTTTCCTCCCTCACACGTCAACTATGACTTGACTTGATCTTGCTACATCCTACTACAACACACTCTCCTCTGCACAAGATGCTTTTTGCTGCTCCCTAACTGTGCAAAATCCCACAACATCAGATACAGTATTCTAAGCAAAAGCCATACTTGCAAAATGGTCCTACTCTGCTGAATGTGTCTTGAAGAAATCTTGCTCTGAATCTGATTTCATCCTCTATACATTTACTGTCCATTCAAATAATTCAGACGTTCACTTACCAAGAAATTACTTTTCTTCTATTATATCTACTCTTTTCTCCAACCCTAAACAACTTTTCTCTACTTTCAACCACTCCTCTATGCTCATGTACCACCCTGCTCATCTGATGTTAGTGTGCAAGACCTTACAGAATGCTTCTTTAGAAAAACAGGAGCGGAGCTAGCAGGCGAGCTGACAAGATGCATGGCGCCCAAGCTCTGACAAAAGCTATTCAAAATTACCTCACAAGCCGGTCATTTTGCCTGCACCAAGGTACACGCGGCTGCCAAGAGACCTGGTACACCATGAGGAAGCACTTGAAGAAATCCTGAGGGCCGAGCCCGAGACATCGGCTAAATGCTGTCCCAAGCCTATAGGCCCAAGATGGCGGACGTCTTCCCGGAACTGGGGCTAGACTCGCTCTCTGCCTCAGAGGATGACTACTTGAGTGATGTGCCAACTCCAACACCCCAACGGAGAAGCCAAGTCTTGCCTCATCAGCACACGGAACCCCTGCTGGCTACTAAGGTGGACCTCTTCGGCATGGTGACCGAAAAGGCCTTTTTCACGACGGAACTAGTAGTGCTGAAGGGAGAACTGGGCACACTGACAGGCCGGATAAGGGCCACGGAAGAAAATATCCAGTACCTGAGGGTCCAACAAGCCACCACAGCTAAGCGGATGCAAGAGCTCTCAATCATGTGAACGCAGCTGAATGCACGAGTGGGACAATTAGAAGACCTGGCACGCTAACGAAACCTAAAGGTGAGTGGGATCCCTGACACTGTGGCTGCAGAAGAGCTGCCGCAATTAATTAGGAGAATGTTCTTCGCTACCCTGCCCTCCAAGCAGGCCGAGGGACTTACTCTGGATGGCCTATTCTGCATACCTGGGCGACCACTAAGACACCGCTAGAGATGTGTAGCAGTACTTACCTTACCCGGGGGCCGGCCGGGGTCCTCACTTCCCACCGGGCGAAGCTCTCGACTGAAGGCGGGCACGGACCGCTAGATACGGTCACGTGTCCCGCCTAGCTCTAAGAGCGTGCCGCGCGTCTCGGGCACGCTCTTAAAGGGGCAGTGGGAGCCAAAAGATGAAATGTGCTCCCATTGGCCCCCGTCATCCCACATTCCCCAGACACTCATATTTTGGGGGCGTGGATATGACAGGGGCCAATCAAAGTCAAGTTCAGGGTATTTATACTTACCTCTCCCTTAACTCCCTGCCCTATAGTGGTTTCTGTTTCAGTTCCCTATAGCGCTTGTTGTGTTCAGTTTTGATTTTTGTGCTTAACCTTGGCTTTGTATCTGACTCCGTTTATCTCTCTATTCCTGTTTTGTCTTGTTTGCCGGCTTACTGACTACTGTGTACCAGACCTTGGCTAGTTTTGTTCTCGCAGTCTCTTTGTTCCCTTGACCACGGCTTGTTCTTGACTCTGTCTATTCTCTGCTATACGGCGAGTCCTGCCATTCTAAGGTCCGGTAAGCCGTATCTGCTCTATCTGTCGATTGTTGAACTAATTCTTGTGTGTAGGGGTAAACTACCGTGACAAGATGTTATCATGTGTTTTGAATCCTGCTCAGACAAGGAGGGCTTCCTCTGCGCGATTAGGGGATGAACCCTTGTACACCTTTGAAGAACACTCACTAAACTTCTAGCAAGACCTGAGTCGTCAGACACTGCAGTGGCATGCCTTTCTAAAAGAAGTGACAATGCAGCTGAGAGCAGCCTAAATCCCAAATAAATGGGGATACTCGAGTGCGCTCACTGCCAAATATGACCGCCACTGCCATTGGCTGACCTCGCCAACAGAAGCAGCTACGCTCCTGCAATTCCTGGGCATACACCCGGCTTCTGGCAGTTCGGGACCCACGCATTAATGGGAAGTCGCCAACATCACACCTTTCACCCCATCGAGATCCACCGCTTCAGTATGAAAAGGCGCAGCAGTCCCTCCCGGCATCAGCTTTGTGCGTGAACATACCAGACACTGAGAACTTAATGCTTTGTCTGACACTATCACTTTGTTTGCATTTTACTTTTATTTTTGCTCACTTTGCTATCTGGTGATTATCACACAAGTCTTACTTGCTTTAAATGTAAATACTGCGCCCCACTATTACGTACCCCTCATGATACAGAGCACCAAGGAGGCGCCGATGCCTCATAGCTACACCACAATGTGAATACTACACCCCTTCCTTCTCTCCCCCCAGGTTCTGGGGTTATGGAACTACCCTACCATATAGTCCCCCATACTTGCCTAAGACCTAACTTGCATGAACTTACCATTAGAGCACTGAAACAACCTTTACAGACACACACACTGCAGCTAACCTATACACCCGCTTCATCAGTGAACTGGAGTTGCCTCTGGCATACATTATACACCCATATAAGCATTTGTGGCACCGGCAAAGTTTATACCTTTACAAAAATGTGCAAATTCTAAGCTTGCCACACTTATGTTCTCATATGTTTAATACGACTAAGCCTGTAAATGCTGTTGTGGCAAAACAGGTACTGCTGTACTTATCTGCATATATTAAAAAAAAAACACACTTATAACATCCAGACACAGGCCAGTGATGTTCCTCCTTCATTTCTGATCACCCCCACCTCAACTCTCTGCAACTTCCCCCAGCACTGAAGATCAAGTGTGTAATTTATAGTCTTCTTCATTCCTTACTACTTGCCTGCTTTACTCTATCTCTTCACATCTAATACCTTCTGTCTTCCACCCTTACTCCTGCTCTTACACTTATCCGTTTTTACTGATGCATTTCATTCCTCTTTCAAACATGAACAGTTCAGTCCCATACTCAAGAATCCCTCCATTGGTATAAAGTCTCCCTCAAACTACACCCCTTATAATTGCTTCCACGAACATCCAAAATCCTGGAAAAACTAGTTTACGACTGCTTACCCCACTTCTTGTCCTCCAACTTCCTACTTGGTACCCACCACTCACCTGAAATTGCCCTCACCAAGATTCTAACTACCTTCATTCTGCTAAAAGCACCAGTCACTACTCTATTCTGTCAGAAATTATGATCGGTGGAATCCGTATTTAATTTTTTGGACAGGCAAAGATCTGATTAACACAAATAAATAAATACAAAGAGACAGACAAGCTTATACACACCTATTGAGCTTTGTGTTATCTCTCTCTTTTTACCTCTCTCCATCTATCTATCACAGATTTCAAAGAAAAGACACTAACCACAGGTATTTGAGCTTATTAACTTTAATTTACACTTAACTTGTTTAGTCTCCTGGAGTATCCCTTTAAGGACTTATATTAGCTCTAATTATGGCAACATTTGAATTAGAGACTGCCCATAGTGCAGTTAGGATAATCTCTTTAGTACTATTTTGATTAATACTTTATACACCTGAATGGTAAGGTAAATTAGTCTGATACAGGATTTGGATTAACTAACTTTTTATACTTACCAGTTACCACTTTGTTTGGCCTCCTCTCACTTCCACTTCATTTGAGGACTTTTGGGCAATCTGGAAATATTTTAAAGGCTCTGTAGCGGTCTCAACTTATTCTGAAGGTTCCATTGCAAAAATTTCAGGTGGACTGAGTGGTGGATCTTGTTTGGCCTTATTTGAAAAAATGTTTTTCCCTTTGTAATACATCCCTATTGATGACTTTTACGTTATGTATTGATTTCAGTACTGAGATCTGGTGCACTTTATTTTTGTTGTGTTCATCAGACTGCTAAACAAGCATACATTACACAGGCAGACGCAAGCACACGATTTCTCTCAGCAAGCAGATTTAAAAAAAAACTCAATTCCTCGTATGCTTGAGTCGTGAGAAAATGTTATACTGTTGCACCCTACACAGATGATAATGATTTTTTTAACAAAAAAAAAAGTTGATCCTCATTTTTCCTGCAACACTTTTGTTTCCATATAGGAAACTAAATTATCAGATTAAGAGTTTATATTACCTCTACTTATGGTAAGATTTGAATTAGACTGTCCATACTTCAGTTAAGATAATCTCTTTAATCCACTTTTGATTCTAATTTTATATACCTGATACTAATGTGTAGCAGGCAAATTAATGCTTTATCCACTAGATCTGAAGATAAGATTTGTCACAGCGTGCTATAGAGAATCCCTTCTTTTTCTGAGGTTGCAGCCATTGCTACTTTATGTCTGGATGTCCTAAAAGCGTGCCCCTTCTTGAGTTTCAGGAGGATTGTACAGATGTAGATGAATGTGAGTGTTCACCTTGTGGGAATAACGCTGTCTGTACTAATACTTTTGGAACGTACAGTTGCTTGTGTGAAAAAAGGATACAGAAACGTGCCGCTAAATCCCAAAACTCTCAATTTCATTGACATAGATGAATGTGAGAATTTGTGTTGTGGGCCACACACTGACTGTACTAATACTATTGGGTCGTACAGTTGCTTGTGTCAGAATGGATACAGAAACACGCTACTAAATTCTACAACTTTCAATTGCACTGATATAGATAAATGTTCTCTCAATAAGGCAAACTGTCCAAGTAATTCTGTGTGCAAGAATACAAATGGCAGCTACAACTGTGTCTGCCTTGATGGATATGAAGATTACAGCAATTGGGGGAACATCATCTGCATATAACCTTATTGTGACTCACAGGAATTTGGGGCAAAATAATAGGAATGAACAATGTTCCATATTTAAAAGATTTAATCATATGCGACAGTCTGTCTGCCAGAAAAAGTCATCAGTGGAGAATGTCACCAATGAAATCACTCAAGTTCTCAATGAGACCTTGACAAATGTAATTGAATCTTCTAGTCCTGCAGACATCGCATCCCTTCTCACTTAAAGTGGAGCAAACCTTTTTAACACTTTTCACTCTGCACCCTGTTACCCAGAGAACTTCTGCTCCTGGACTAGATGTCGTCATGAAGATTTCCAATGACAGCTGCAGTGATATATCAAATTTCCTAACTCTGGAATTGTTAACAAACAGTATGAAATTTTAATGTAAACTTATTCCTGGACAAAATGATGGTGCTTTCTTCATCTCATATACTGATCTGCAATCCAGTTTACCAAATTTCATACAGAAGGAGAAGGAGTCCTCCAAGCATCACCTTTCTGGAGACATCATTTTGCAGATGGTAACTGGGGCTGTCACCGTTAAAGACACAGACAATATCAACCCTCCAGTGTCATTCTACCTTCTCTACATCGAGGATTTCAATCCCTCCTACCAATTGAAGTGCATATTTTGGGATAAAACAGGCTGGCCAAGCAGAGGATGTGTCACCAACACACCGAATGCCTCCCACACGCTTTGCAACTGCTCCCACCTCTCCAGTTTTGCTATTTAGACGTTATTTCATAAGGAGGAGAATATTCAGAATAGTCAGATTCTGACTTGGATTACTCGTATTGGTCTTGCTGTGTCCATTTTCTGCCTGATTCTCTCTTTCCTCTTGTGTCATGCTCTGAAAAGCACCCAATACTCCGTGCTGTTGGCACTGATTGGATGCCTCTATTTGGCGCAGCCGCTCTTTTTGCTGGGAAATGGACAAACTCGGAATAGGATCCTCTGTGCCATCAGTGCTGGTTGCCTCCATTTCCTCTTCCTATGTACCTTATCCTGGATGTCTCTGGAGAGCATTCTCCTCTTCCTGACTGTTTGGAACCTCCATGCTAGGAATTACCTGAGTTCCCAATGCTCTCATTTCCCATTGCTTTGTGCTTTTGGGTTTGGTTTTCCTGTTATCATTGTCACCATCACCACATCCCTTCGGCAAAAGAAATATGGAACGTTGAGAATTTGCTGGATCAGCTTCAAAATTATCTGGAGTTGTATTGGACCGATTTCAGTGCACATTGTGGTAAATACAGTGTGACAAACTACCCTTCGCCAGTTGGGTAGGGGCCTGATTGCCAGCCTCCTGCCACAAGATTACGGGCCCTGCAAAAAGACTTGCTAAAAAGGGATTTCCATGGGAAAATGTGCCTCTTCCTTTTTCCTGTCCTATTGTTCTCCAGCAGTGCGTTCTCCCAGGGACACTGCCAGACCAGTTGAAACTGGCTGCCTCCTCAATCTCTCATCAGCCCATGGCGATCCAACTGTATTCGTGAGATCTGAGCACTGTTCGGACATATGGAGCGCTCAGATCCAAGCTATCTGGGGATATGTTGGACATATGTATAAACATTGTATTATAAGAGTTATGTATTTGTATGTGGTTTATGTGACAGTTTTTGACTTAGAGATATTTCCTGTACCTGGAGATAATTAAGTTACCACAGCCACTTAAGCCAATTATCTCCAGGATAGAGGAGAAGATAGACCGGCCGCACAACCTAAATTTGTGGAACTATTTTGGGCATGAAAACCATGCTTGCGGTCGGTCAAATGTGACTTCCACAAAACTTTTGAACCTCTGCTCTGATCTGGGTGATTTTTGGATATGTTGATCACCCAGGGCCACAAATTATACATCAGGGCTATCCAGGGATGTATAATTTGTGGGGATATGTGGTGTTTTAGGGTGTTTTCTGTGTTTTGTGAAAAATGTGTGTTTTCTGCCTGTGGGTAATTGCATTAGTCCATTGTGTTTGGTAATTGTATCACAGGCAGAGGGGAGGGTTTGTGTACATTATCTGGGAGTGCCTAACTGAACAAGCAGCCATTAGGTAGGTCTGAAGATTCTGCTACTGGGATCCTCGAATAACCAACCAGGACACACAGTTCCAAAAGAACAAGTCCATATGCACATTACGTTAAACTTCTTGTGACATCCTCTATATAATACAAATAATCAAATTATATGGGGAACTGTTTTTTTTCGGGCGGGGATGACGACGTGACGACGCGTGGGACACGTGGGACGTGTAACGTGCCGTGCACGCCGCGGGGTTAAGCTGAGCTGGAGTCCCATTTGGGGGAGAGGTGAAACCGCCGAACAAATAATAGAGACAACACAGGCATCAGATGCTATCCCCCCACAAGTGCGGTAATCAAAAGCCGCGTTGAAGGGCTTGTTTGACCCGCGGGTCGAATATACAGGACTGAGGGACCGAAGGAAAGTCTATACTTTTTTTTTTTTTTCATTTACTATGTTCCCGCCACAGCAAAAAAAGGCGTAGGAATGGTGTGCGTTTGAAATCGTAATGGAACTATGCCTAATCTAAAGAAGTTGATCCTTTAAAAAGCCTGACAAACAAAAAGGCAGAGTGAAATCTTATACTGGAGCAGAGGTGAGCACAATAAGAGTGCAATGAGGCTTGAGTCATATTAAATTAACAAGAATTTGTGGGATATAAATATAGCTGGAAAAAAAAAAAAAAAGGGGAAACTTGAGCAAATACTATATTATATAATGCTGAAACAATGTGATTCATAAAGCACCATATGACACATAAACCACTATAACGAAGCTATATTGTCAAATATATCACTGGTGTAATTAGGACCGAAGCGAGCTTAAATATAAGAAGACGCTTGCTAAGAAGCCTGGTAAATAAAGTGGCTAAGTGGAATGCTATATTGCATATTGAAATAGAGGAAAGCACTAGAGCTAAATGTGACTGACAGATAAAGTGAAAAACTGGACCTTCACATTTGGAGTGGAGGTGTGTACCAGATATAAAAGTGCAATTAATCCTGAACCACATTGAAATATTAGGAATAATAAGAACTTGTTGGACCACCATACTACTGAATCACAGAGAATCCAAGTGGATGCCATATTGCTGAATTTTTATGTACTCAAGTCCTCAAGTATTAAAGCGCACATTATGCTTAATAATTAGCTCCATAAGATCTAATACTGAACTGCTGTAGTTAAAGGAAAGTTGGATATCCTTTTTAAATCGTTTACAAAAAAAAAGGGAGGAAAAGAGGAAAAAAAAAGAAGAAGAAATAAAAGAAAAAAAAAAAAATAATGACAACAAGGAAAACAGCGGATCAGAAACAGGAGTTGAAGTCTCTTTCAAAAAAAGACCGCGAAAAAAGAGAAAAACAGGAAAAGAGACTTTCAAATTTTTTTAATGCTGCAGTAGATAAAAGTACTTTGGAATCTTCTTCGACTTCCACGCCAAATAAAATGCCTTTAAATAAACACACAGGTGAATTAAAGGAGATAGAAGTACAAGAATCTCCAGAGGAATTAACGATCACTCAAGCATTTCTAAAACAATGTTTAGATCAACAATTGGAACAAATAAAATTAGAAATGCAGGGGAATTTTGCAAATTTAAAGCAGGAAATAATAAATATGGGACAAAAAGTCAAAATAAATGAACAGAAAATAGAAAATTTGGAATTTCTCATACAGAAGCAAAATGAATGTATAGAGAAACAACAAATGAGGATTAATGTACTGGAGGAGAGAACAACTAATATAGAGGATAGAGGAAGAAAAAACAATTTAAGAATAAGAAACATACCAGAATCTATTTCACAAGGCAATTTGGCAGATTTTCTTGCGGAATTTTTTGAAGCTCTTAAAATCAACATTGATGATAAAAGGGACTTTCTTGAAAGATTTCACCGGTTAAATAAACCAAGAACACTTCCAGAAGATCTCCCAAGGGATATAATTATCGCTTGCCACTCTTACTCTTTTAGAGAAATTTTTTTAAAAGCAGCAAGACAAATGAAAAGAGAACAAGGCAAATTTAAAGAAATAAAAGTGTTTCCAGATTTGTCCTTCCAGACAAGGCAAGCGAGAAAACAATTTACTCCAGCTACTCTGCGTTTGAGGGAAAAAGATCTAAAATATCGGTGGGGATTCCCAACTAAACTTATAGTTACTAAAGAGGGGACTACATATACATTTGACTCATTGAACAAGGTTATAACTTGGTTGGAAAACTTGGTTTAACTATGGTAATGATTTGAATAAGTATGATTTAGCTCTCTGATCAATTAGATTAAATTCCTACTAAATTGCACTGGGAGAGGTTTAATAGTTTTGTTAAGGGAATATGTATCATCTCTGTGATCTATGATTTAATCATTGATCAATAGTATATCGGATGGAGAAAAAAAAAAAAAAAAAGTTCACTATGAGGGAAAATATTTAGAGTAATATAAGTTAAATTGTAAAGTTAAATATGCATGTGAGGTGGATTATTTTCACGATCTAGTACTAAAAAAAAAAAAAAAATGAGAAAATAAAAAAATTTTATTGTAATAATTTGAATAAGTATGATTCAGCTCTCTGACCATTTAGATTTAATCCTAACTAATTCTGCACTGGGAGAGGTTTAACAGTTGTGTTAATGGAATATGCACCACTTTTGTGATTTATGATCAAAGTATTGAACAATAGTACGTTGGATGGAGAAAGAAAGTTCACTATGAGGGAAAATATTTAGAGTAACACATGTTATACTGTAATAGTTATATATGCAACTTAGATGGATTATTTTTATGATGTAGCACAAAAAAAAAAAAGAGGAAAAAAAAAAAAAGAAAAAAAGTATGGATATAAGTTACACTCATATAAATGGATTAACTAATGGAGGTAAAAGTACAACTATAGAGAGTAAACCACTGAAATAGTAGGTATGATCATTGGATTTATTTCAGGACACTTTTAAATACTTTGATCTATGGAAATTTCATTAATAATATAGAAAGATAAAACACATGTATGTGGGTATAAGTTTGTAGTAATAAATTCACAAATAGTTTTTAAGTTAGAAGTTTGGGGAAAGATGGTAGGAACTCTTAAATATTGTGAAGATGACAGAACTGGATAGCTTCTTTAGTACATATAGACAGAGACTAAAATGTTGATGTAGTAAAAGTCCTGTAATTAATTGATGCTTGTTGGGGGGAAGTAATGGAGTAAGATGCGGTATGGTAGAAGGTGAAGAAAATAGATTGAATTAAGGGACGTTCCAAGCTCAGCTTTTATTTCCTTTTTCCTCATTTAGGAAATTTCTATATGAGGACTAGATTCCAATTAGGGGATTTTTCCCTTTTGGATCTATACCCAGAGGTTAACACCCTGGGTGTGTTGAATGAATGCCTCTCGGATATGAGAGGATGGGGTATGTTTGGTATGAAAGTGGTAGTTGGAGTGGGGGCTCATCTTCAGAATAGAAAGAAGTTTAGGGAAAAGTTCATCAAGTATATGGGTGATGGCTATCAGATTTGGAAGAAACCTAGGAATATACTAAAAAAGAGAAATGGTTAAATAATATCGTTAAATGCCCAAGGTCTAAATTCCCCTAGTAAACGAGCAATTCTGTTTGATTACATTAAGAAAGAAAAAGCTCATATCATCTTTCTACAGGAGACACACTGGAAGAGAGATGATAAGTTAAGATTTACTCCACAAAGTTTTTCAACAGTGATATCTGCCACATTAGAGAGTCAGAGAAAAAGAGGAGTAGCCATTATGATAAGTGATGATTTGGATGCTAAAATCATATACCAAGAATTAGATGAAGAAGCTAGATATATTATAGCAATAATCAATATTCAATCAGAAATATATACGCTAGTAAATGTGTATGCGCCTAATAACCCTTCAAATAGATATTTCTATGATCTTTTTGATAAAGTAGTGTTGTGGTCGTGACCTAAATATGAATATTAATCTCTTAATACATAATAATTAAGCAATACGGAACAACATTAATATTTTTATAATTCATGGTATTATGGTCGAATATGTGGATAGAAAATACACAAAACGTTGTAATATTAAATGTATATTTAATATAACTATAACAAATAAACAGATGCTAGCAGAATGTCAATTTACTACAATTATGATACAATACAAAACTACAACATATTACTTACAAAAGGTTGCTAAATGTTACACAAAAGGCTAATGTTACAATGGATTCATTTACTTACAAGGCCCCAGCCCTTTGGCTGGGGTTAAGTCAGAACTGGTACTACATCTTAGGTTCAGTCAGGTACAGACAAAGGGACAGAGTTTTCTCCTCCATCTGGTTTTTATTCAGTGTAAGTAGGCTGGCCTGTGATGTCACTGCCAGAAGCACATGTCTTCCTACACACTCCCTCTAGTGGTGCCCCCAAAGCATTACACTAAATATGCTTTCTTTATGATGTAAAGTCATTAATTAGTAAATACCATTACAAACCACCCTTTGACTTATGTCATAAAACAAGCATTTATAAAACCAGTACATTTTGAATATTCCCCATTTTAACACTACCTGCCCTACAACAAAACCCACCTTTTGAAGAACGATACCCATTTACCCATTAATTATTACCCATTAACATTTTATTGCTTATAAATGTTCACCATTGAGCACATGCATTACCAGTTGGGAAATAGGCACATACCCACCCTTATAATAATGAACAACTCAAACCATGTTTTATTAGATTAACCATTGATTTTGTGTTCATGTGAGGATGTGTTTTGGAGCTTAAATAGTATTAGACACCACAAACTCATAACACCTATGAATCATGGCACAGACCGATTTCTGTAGCCTCTGGCTGGTCTGTGTGCCTGGAATTTTCACAAACATTAGTCCTGGAAACTGGATACTCTATTCTTCGACAGTCTCATAGAACATACGCACGGAGACAGGGATGAATGAAACAGTTCATGTGATCAAGGACTTTTGTGTGTTTGTGGTCACATTGTTTTGTTTTTTCTTTCTTTATACAATTAACCACCTTGACGTAACAGTTTCCTGCTCCTGATGCATTTTGTTCCGACTCTCAACACTCTTAGCTGCAAAATTTTTTCTCCTTACAGCAACAGTTGAGCATAGTGTCCAGTGCTGCTTCTTCTTCTGCTTCTGCTTAAAATATCCTTGCTTGAAAGTTCTTGAATGAAAACACAGGCAATGACGAACACAAACATAAATAATAACTGTGCCAATCATCACAAGTACCATTTGATTGTGGTGTCTTAACCATATTTTTTCCTATGGCGTTTGGATAAATACCTACACACCTCTCTTCACATCCAGCACACTCCTGATTCACAGATAAACACAATATCACTGCTGTATCTACCAATTTAACCCAAACACTCGTTATTACTGCTGCATTTACCAATTTAATCTAAACACTCGTTATCATTGCTGTATTTAACCAATTTAATCTAAACATTAACCAAAACAATTACATTCCTATTTACCACCCTTCTATTTAAACATGTATAGATAACCCAAAATGCCTACTTTCTCTTATCCCTCTTATTTTTTTTTGTTTTGTTTTTTGAACTGCAACCACTCATGCACTTTACACAGACACAAATCAAGCACCTACTGGACAATGGGGTTCCCTCGTTAGAGCCCTCCCACCCCAGTTTGGTTTACACAAAAATACCACCTGATCCCTATGGGTCAATTCCCCCCTTTCCCAGGCAAGCATACATACATACATACATACAACAATAATAATACATAAGGGTTTCAATTGCAATACAATCACTAGAAATAAGAGAATAGTATGCACAAAATCATAGCATAGACATGTTAAATAGACAATAAAATAAAACATTCAATAGCTCATCAAAGGTCAACATTTAAACACTGGTCTCCATCTGATATTCTATCTGTGTTCCAATGTCCACCCCTGGTTTCTGCTATATCTGAAAAAGGTAAGAAAACAGATCAGGATTACTTTTCCTTGTCACTTATAGCGTATACTGCCAAATCCTTTACTTAGCATATATACATATATACACATATAAATACATTCCCTAAACTTTTCATTTTATAAACAATTTGTTCAACAAGGTAACTTTCTTAATTTTCTACTTGGCTCTTAAAATAAACAATCAGCTAATAGCTGCTTTCTGCATCTTCTCTGCAATTCAGGAAACACATTTCTAGCCAACCTAAACATGTTTAATAACTCTCCACCCTTTGGTTAAATTATAGAGGAGTGAACCACAACACCTCTTCCGCCTCTGAAAGGATATAGGTCAATATGTCTCAAAGTTCAACACTTCTGACAGCTATGAGTGACTCCCTATTAATTTCTAGCCTTTCCACGGACATGCTTGCACCTCGCGGCTAAGGGCCTGCACAACTAACCACCCTGTGATGGCAGTGGCTTTCCGCATGGGGGTGACCGCCCCCGCAAAATTATAGAGGAGCAAACATACAGCAGCCTCTTTTCCGGCTCGATTAAAGGTTCTGGGCCAATATGTCTGCAATTTAACCAGTACACTCACGTATCACTTATTGTATATTTCCTGGTCTCTCAGGAATTTCTATTAAATAGCGTATCCCCTTCCCAGGGCAATATACAACAAAAACTAGTCACCAAGGGTCTCTATGGTCATGATAGGCCACCCTACCACTAGTGTAATACGCCCTTTTTTAAATATATTTCCTGGTCTCTCAGAGATTTTGCCTATCCCTTTCCCAGAGCAATATATATAAACAATTACAAATAAGTTACAAAACGCTACTTATAAGTAATACAGGGTTTCAAATAATAATACAGGATAGAACTGCACAACAACTATTGGGTATGCTCCCCCTTATCCGGACACGTTTAAATACCCCCTAGCTCAGGTTCCCCACCCGCTACTGTAACTAAAATCACAGCCCACGTTATGGAGGTTCACCCGCTAGGCAGATACACCCTAATTCAAAGCATGGAAATATTAAAATCAGTTATAGATGGCTTCTAAAATAATATAAATCTTAATCTGAGCCCCTACACTTACTTTGTTAAAAATGCTAACTTGTTAAAATATTCAGACTAAATAGGACAAAGGAATTATTTTACCATTTTTTCAGTTCATTTGTTACCAGTTCCTGCATATGTCCAGTAATTCCTTAGTCCTGGATAATAAAGCTGAAAAACACTCCACAAATTGATTAGCTTAGGCAATTACATTTACAAAACAATGCAGTTTATTTTTTCTCATACAGGCAAGACTACCCACCCCCAACAAGGACAAATTCTCCCCCAGCTGTAGCTGAAAAGCATGGTCACACAGCTGTTAAAAAGGTGGTCTCTCCTTCAGGAGTCAAAATCATATATATTTATACTAATATTCTGTGTATACGCACACATAAATCTATTATTCACTGAATCTGCTTTACTAAACATATCTTTTTCTTAACTACTAATTTAATACATTTTGTCCAAATCTCTTTTCAACTAGACAAATGCATGAATACCAAACAAATGTAAATTAGTACACAAACAGGGTCAAATTTAGCAATAAAACCTGGTGAACTGGTTTAGTGAAAAGTCTTTTCCTATGCAAATGGTAGCAAACAATGAAACTAGGCCTCAACTCATTCACACCATGTGGTCAATGGTGGATTAAAATCCACATGGTCAGACAAAAAGTAAAATTGTTTTTTGTTTTATATATAAAAATGACCAAAGGTTGGTAAAACGTAACAAGCAACACAATAATTCATCACTATGTTCTACAACAAGAGATACCTTAAAAAACTAATATCTAATCCCTATCTGCTATCTGCATTCATTCCATTAAAACCAAATCATCATTCATTTATTCATTTGTATACAGACAGACAATTTACAGTATGATTTAAGCAAAATGCATAACATTTATATTTTCCCCAATATTCAAGCATAATCCTGCCGACTACGCCAAATGTTGTGGTCGTGACCTAAATATGAATATTAATCTCTTAATACATAATAATTAAGCAATACGGAACAACATTAATATTTTTATAATTCATGGTATTATGGTCGAATATGTGGATAGAAAATACACAAAACGTTGTAATATTAAATGTATATTTAATATAACTATAACAAATAAACAGATGCTAGCAGAATGTCAATTTACTACAATTATGATACAATACAAAACTACAACATATTACTTACAAAAGGTTGCTAAATGTTACACAAAAGGCTAATGTTACAATGGATTCATTTACTTACAAGGCCCCAGCCCTTTGGCTGGGGTTAAGTCAGAGCTGGTACTACATCTTAGGTTCAGTCAGGTACAGGCAAAGGGACAGAGTTTTCTCCTCCATCTGGTTTTATTCAGTGTAAGTAGGCTGGCCTGTGATGTCACTGCCAGAAGCACATGTCTTCCTACACACTCCCTCTAGTGGTGCCCCCAAAGCATTACACTAAATATGCTTTCTTTATGATGTAAAGTCATTAATTAGTAAATACCATTACAAGTAGATAAAATAAAGCAGGGTAAATTACTCTTGGCAGGTGATTTCAATCGGATACTAGATGTAAATATGGATAGGAAAACTTTAAACCCTGAAGGATCAATTAGTAGTAACTGCACAAGCAGTACAATTTCATAGGATAATTGAGAAATATGGACTTATGGATATATGGCGAGTGCTTCATCCACTGGAGAGGGATTTTACATGCTTCTCCAGATCATATTTCTCATATTCAAGAATTGACTTATTTCTGGGTAGTGTTGGATTCACTAATAGCACTAAAAAAGTCCTCATAGATGAAGTAACTTGGTCCGATCATAATGCCATAATCTTGGAGTTGGATATAGTGAATAATAGGGCAAGAAGAACTAATTGGAGATTAAATGATAATATTCTTTCCAGTAAGGAAAATAGAGAATATATAGGGGAGATGACAGAAAGCTTTTTCAGGAAAATGAGGGGGGTGAAGTGTCACTTCCGATGGTTTGGAATGCATATAAATGTGTTATAAGAGGTTATTTAATTAAGCTAGGTACAATTGATAAAAAAAAGAAAGGAAGACCCTTAAAGGACTTGTATGTAGACTATTATAACTTATCGAATGAAAACAAAATTTTACCAACTCAGGAGAAAAGCATAAAAATGTTATTATTGCAAAATCAAATAAATGAATTATTATATGAGGAGAAAAAGAGAAATCTCCAATTCTTAAAGATTAATTGGTATTATAAGAGTAACAGGGCGGATAGGCTGCTTACAAACAAATTGAAAAATAAAAAACAAATGAGGAGGATTCATAGAGTTGAGGTAGGAAAAGAAACGTTATTAAGCCCGAAAAAAATTGGGTTAGCGTTTAATGAATATTATAGCCGACTATATAATTTAGAATCAGCTGGACAACAACCCATATCTTCGGAATATTTCAAAAATAAAAAAATGCCAAAAATTACTAGGGAACAACTTAATGAGATAAATAAACCAATAACTTCAGAGGAAGTTATAGCAGCTATAAATAAGTTACATATAAATAAAGCTCCTGGCCCAGATGGTTATTCAAATAAATTTTATAAGATATTTAAAGATTCCCTGTCGACTCGTCTTGCTAGGATATTTAATACAATAGTGGAAAATTGCACGTTCCCTAGGGAGATGCTTCAAGCGAATATTGTCCCTATCTTGAAGCCGGATAAAGACTCAGCCAAACTGGTGAATTATCGCCCAATATCTCTTTTAAATGGGGATGTAAAGATTTATGACTCAATTTTTGCAGATCGATTAAAAATATGTATTCCGACTTTAATACATCAGGATCAAGCCGGTTTTATTCATGGCAGAGCACCATCAGATGGATTAAGAAGAATAATGGATGTACAGGATGCTGCGATTAGGAAAAGAGCTCCCCTTCTAACCCTGTCACTGGATGCTGAGAAAGCGTTCGACAGGGTCAGATGGGATTTTTTGGGTAACACTTTAAAATCATACGGTATAGTAGGAACAGTCTATGATGCCATTATGGCACTATACACTGTTCCTTCAGCAAGGACTATAGGCCCTGGGATAGAGGCAGATTGGTTCTCTATTAAGAACGGAACTAGGCAAGGATGTCCTCTTTCCCCGTTACTTTATGTTTTAACCATTGAGCCTCTTGCAGAAGATATAAGGCAAAATGGAAAGATTGAGGGTTTTTGGTTTAAAAATTTAGAACATAAGATCAATCTATATGCTGATGACGTTATGCTCATGGTGCAGAATCCTAGATCATCATTGCCGGAATTGATAAGAACACTAGATTATTACAGTGAATTTTCAAATTATAAATTAAGTATTAATAAAACCACAATAATGACAACTAATTTACCTAGGGAAGATAAGGATTTTATTAAATTATCTTATGATTTTGTTTGGGTTAAGGAACATATCTCATTTTTTGGTATAAAAATAACAAGAGATATAAATAGAGTTATCGAAGTTAATTTCCTCCCTCTATTAAAAAATACAAACAAAATATTAAAAGAATGGGCTGGCAGGGAGATTTCTTGGATAGGTCGTATAGATACTATCCGATCATATATTTTGCCTAAATGGAATTATCTTTTTAGAATGATACCTATACAAGTTCCTAATCTCTGGTTAAAAATGATACAGTCAGCTTTTTCTAAATTTATTTGGAAAGGTAAAAAACCAAGAATAAGCCTACAGTTAATATCTAAGACAAGAAAGGATGGAGGCTTTGCTGCTCCAAATATAATAGAGTATCATAATGCATGTATGCTGGCCCACACTGTTAATACGTTAAGTATAGACCAGAGAGATCAATCTTGGTATCATATAGAGCAATCACTAGTAGAGACAAGCAGCCTATCCTCCCTGTTTTGGACAACAAGGAGGAATCAAAATAAAAATAACTTGGTCCACCCAGAAAACTCGACAATTCTAGATAGTATACTGAGATTTTGGCAGAAATTTAAGAAAAATTATAAAATAGAATATAGAATATTCCCTTTTCTACAACTAGAGGTGATTAATCATAATATTGAAGATATTAATATCAGAGGTTGGATACAAAAAGGTATTAAGTATATTAAACAAATTATAGATATAAAGGATCTTAAGTCATTTAGCCATTTACAGGCAGAGTTTGGGATTGAAAGTAAGGACGTATTTACATATCTAAGAGTTAAGCTTTTCTTGGCGAAATTCTTGGACATTCAGTTAAATAAAAATATAAGTAACATTAAGAAGATCATAGAAACAAATAGAACTAAAGGTCACATTTCTAGATGTTATGAATTTTTAAAGTCATCTTAAAAGCTCTCTCCTTGTAAATTTAAGACTAAATGGGAAAAAGATTTACAAATAGCAATCTCCGAGCAAGACATGACAAACGCGATAGAGATAGTTAATAAATCGGTACATTGCTTGAATATAGTAGAGAATTTTTATAAGCTCCTGAACAGATGGTATATGGTTCCAGAAAAACTGGCTAAAATATATGTAGATCAGAGCCCCTTTTGCTGGCGCTGTGAAGCTGCGATAGGAGATTATCTCCATATTTGGTGGCATTGTAAAGTTTTAACTAAAATATGGAAGGTGGTATATAAGCAGATTTATAATTCATGTCAGTTATATATACCTTTCACACCACAAAGTTTTTTGTTACATCTGGGATGGCCTTCTATGCCCTTTGAGAAACGCATGTTGATAATACATATTTTAATGGCAGTAAAGTTAGCTGTGGCTAGAAATTGGAAAAGTAAAAAAGAAATACACTGGAGGGAAATTAAAACACAGGTCATCTACCAATGTAAGATGGAAAAGGGAATAATTCTAGGTAATTCTGTAGGTCTGAAGAAATATAATAAATGGGAAACAATAGTTGATAATTTCATTATCAATTAAAAGAACTTATAATCATAAGAATATGAGCCTCCTTAAATGAGAGATTGAATCCCGAGGAACTTAAGTAACAATGCACAATCTGCAAGATGAGTAAATTGAATAGTATAAGTCTGGTTCCTCGGGAGAGTATGCATGAGTGAATGGAATGTTTTAGGTCTTTTAATATATTTTTTTTCTTGCAATCCAAGTGAACTATAGACATGGGAACTAAATTTGTTCAACAATTGAAATGCTGTTTTTATATGGAAATATATTAGAAATCTAAATGTTGTAATAGATAAAATGATTGCAATATGTAAACTTTGAAAATTTTGAAAAAATAAAAATATATGAAAAAAAAAATTATATGGGGAACTCATAACAACACAGAGTATTTATAAATGGGTTTGCAAGACAACAACTAACAAGAAATATCTCTCCTACTTGCAGAATCCCTAATATGCAAATCTACCTAAATATATGCAGCATACCGAGTCTTGCTATTCAGGTAGTGCAAGTAGCACAGGAGAGCACACAAAACATTTAACAATAAACAGCGCATTATACACAACCTGCACCTATAAAGGGCACATGGGGACAAAGACATCAGAACAGTCCAGGGACCGACATAAAGTGTCTGTCCTAAGCTCCTTGTGATTTTGACTACTGTCAGAACTGTAAAATAGAATTTCCATACAAAAAAAAACCTGTTCTCTTGAGTACTGAAATCTTGCTCCAACAAGGTTCTATAAAGTGTACAGGTTTTATAAACCGTTTTTAGCACTCCTGTAATAACGTGTTTTCACTTGCCTGGCAGTGCAAAATCTAAAACTTTTGGGTTCCCTAATTAACTCAAATTCTCAAATTTGAATCCCCAGAAAAGCATATATAAAGACAGCACACACTGGATATAAATATAATTTACGGTATGCCTCCCACGAAGAAATGGATTAAAATCTCATTGGACTTTGCGAAGGTTGCCAGATTGCCCCCTTTTTTCTTGTTAGAAAGACAATAAAAAGGGCTTATAACCAGCAATGTACCACCTGTCTGCTACATCTCCAGGCTTGCAGTCCCAGAATCCATTTAGTAGTCAATGGCAGAGAGGCTGCCAGCCTGCTTGATCAAAGACACTTTAATCACTGCTTCCAGGATACCCATGTCCATTTCTAATGCATGGGCCCTAATCAATCGCCTTAAGGGTATTCTGGCTACTAAACTCCATGGTAGAAGACTGGATTGGGAGCACTCTGGAGTTTGTGACGAGATGGACTATTCAAAGACTTAAACAGAAGAAGTATTTTACATGTTCACTGTGTACACATTGTGCAGTTTAACCCCTTAAGGACCAAACTTCTGGTTAAAAGGGAATCATGACATGACACACATGTCATGTGTCCTTAAGGGGTTAATGCAATACTTTAATTCTAAGTTAATAAAGTTTATATGAATTCTCTAATTTAAAAAAAGAAAAAAAAAGGAGTCTATTATTTTAACAGGGCACCAGTTGTTATCTGTAAGGAAAAGAGGGATTGTGGAAGGATTGTTAGTCTGGTTAGTTTTTTTAAAGTTTTTAATGAGAGAATGTAGTAGTCATTGTCGGATATTTTCAGACTTGCATTGATTTCGGATTGATGTACTACGGTGAACTCTCCAGATCTAAAGAAGCCATATAAAGCGATGAAACTTGCAACCTTTATGACTGAATTAGTCTGAGTATCGAAGGGGATATTGGATAGGTTCCTGAATATAGGACTGTCTATAGGTAGTGTAGTGGTTGAAGGAGGGCAAATTGTTTTATTAAAACCTTTGAGGATAATTTTGATGGGGTATGAGGGTGATTGGGAAAAGTGGTGAGTACATGATTTTGTATGCCTGTAAGATATAATTTAATGTTGCTGTGTGCTAATTTAAGATGTAGGTGACAGAGGCAATATCCACCATTGTCTCGATGGAATCATTTTCCTGTATGTGGAATTCTGACACGAATATGTGAAATATGGTTAATGCCATTTCGTAAGTGGTCTTGGTGTTTGCTGAAAGAGCATTGCATGATAGTAATGGGGTATGACTTATCAATTCTGTTAGTCCATGATTAGCTCTTGGAATGCCGATATTCTGGATGGTTGGTTGTTTGCGGAGGAATGTAACCTGAAAAACTCCTGGAAATTAGATCAGGATAAAGCATCAGCTGTGGTATTATTTACTCCTTCAATGTGTTCATAAACTTAGTAAAATTGTAATTTGGCGGCAAGCCAGGTCAATTTTCGGACAAGCCTCATGATGGTCAAAGAGGAGGAGTGCCCTTTAATTATTTGTAAACACGTAACTGCCTTGCCAGACTGGAGATGACACAATAGGATAGATTTTGAATAAGGCCGAGGTTTCTCTAAAACTGTGTCTTTTAACCAAACGTCCCTAAACCACTGGTTATCAAAAGTTGCAGCGAACCCGGTGTGGGCTGCTGTATCAGTCCAAATTACAAGGGATTAGTCAGATAGTGGGGCAATGAAGAGAGAGACACCATTCCATTCTAAAAGAAAATTCTTGCACATGAGCAAAGCCTTAGCTGATGGGTGGGGCACTATAGTGCCGTTGTCGGGCACGCCAGGTAAAGGGCAGAGTAACCTAGAGATGGAAGTTCTACCTTGTGAAACGATCCTCATGGTGAAATTGAGGGTTCCAATAAAGACTGGTGTGTGAGAGCGTGCTTAAACCAACAAAAATTTCTCCAAGTAATGCATTACTGTTGGACACTTGACAACATTCAGAAGCACCCAGCAGAGAGTTTCTGCAAATATGTCTAAAGTTTTGGGCTGCTCCTGGAACCGAACGTTAGCCGGGTGGCAAAGTGATATTTGTCCCTCCATTTGGTGGCATAGTGACGGATGGATTGGTAGAAGTTTGAATGTGTTGGTGATATCGGTTTTACTTAGCCAGGTTCTACTGCCTGCGTGTAGGATGGCATGGATGGCATTATCTACTGTGGCATAGTGGAGAGAGAACTATTTGGCAGGTATTAGGAAATTGATGCTGGGTGTGAGAGGAATGAGGAGTGGAAAGGTCTATAATCAATCTTTTTTTATTGAAGATTTATTGGTAACCACTCTAACAGGTTTTTGACGCCATGTGTAAAACGGGGAATGTGTGAACGGTCTTATCATAAAACCCACCTGAGTTTCTTTAAGTAACTATTTGTCAACAGAGTGCCTGAGGGGAGTGCGAGCAAACCTGTGTGGAAACCATTAGAAAACTCTGATACCAAAAATTCCACCAGGTGAGGACAGGGGTGCATGCGTAGGTGGTAAGCCAGTGACTGTTAGTCATTTCTTTGGGAAAAGCTTGGATTGGGCACATGGATTTTGTGGGTGCTCTAAAGCATATTGAGCATTTATGCAACAGCATGCATGCGCTGTAATTGCATGTGCCGGCATTAAAATTGTTGCACATTTGTGTCTTGCCAAGGAAAACTATAGGCCTGCCAAGCTTATCCCTTTGTCCTTTCTCTTAACTAATGGTTGGGTTAGCGATTGGGTGGGATGTGTAGGGGTCTGCTTCACAGAGGCACAAGCTAATGGAGTGTGAGGTGGAGTAACATACTGCTCAGGATGGGGGCTTCTGGACGGTCAAATTTTGGCAGAATTGTTCTGTGTCCAGTTGACCCTGTAAATACTGAAGGCAAGGACAAATTTAGGGATAGAATTTTTTTTTTAATTGTGGGTCTCTAGTTTTGAGAACCACTGAAATATGTCCATAATTTAACGCTCTTTTTTGAAGATGTCCTGCGAAGAGATAAGGGGTGATACCAGGTTGACGTCTTTGCCATCAAGAATGTCTTAATTAATGGAAGCGGGAAAAATTATAGTACTACCATGTGTATTTGGGTGTGCTTGTACTATAACTGATGTGCCAGGTGAGTTGCCTGAAGTAGAGGGGGCTGTTTCTAGATTTGACAGTCTCTTGTTTAAAGCCTGAAGGGTTGACAAGATAGAAGACAAAGTGTCTTGCATTTCCCCTGGAGTGCCAGTGTGGGGCCCCTGTGAACTTGTACTGGGCCTGAGATCACTAGATTGAGCACTTAGCAATTTGTAGAGTTCTGCCTTCCTAGCCGTAGCAGGGAAAGGTATGACATAGCTCTGCCGCTAATTTTGGTATAGTCCATGATCTCAGGGACCCGGAGGTAGCAGGAACAAGGGATTATGAAGGGTACCCTGGTCTGAAGGGGTTGCTGGGCCTGGTAGGCGTATTTTGGAGAGACATGTTGTCTCCTGAAATTGATTCTTGTGACATCCTGTAAAGAAAATATTAATGAGTATACTTCTAAATGCTGGCAATAACCTTCCTGTAGAACTGGCTTGCTAACTAGTGCCGTTAACTAATACGTGACCGGTGAGGCCCTGCTAGTTGCCAAGTAGCCATAAGATGATCTATCTATTATTTGGGTTGTGGGGACTTGTGGCCATGAAACGTTGTGGCAGGGTGTTGGCCTCTCGTGACAATAAGAGAGCAAAATACGTGTGGTCGTGACTTGCGAGGCCCTGACTTTTATCCCTGTAGAAGGGTGTGCAATGCAGCTCACTATGAGTTGCACCGTTGGGCTAAACCTCTGTGGTGAGGTCGTGGTTTGGCCTTGCAGGACCATGAACTAATTTACACTAGGCCCAGCACCTAACCTAAAAGCCAATTCTCTTTCCCTAGTCGGGGCTTGTCTCTTCCTCAATTGATCGTAAGCGTACAGGTATGTACCTAAGAGAAGTGAACATTGGAAGGAAAGCTAAGCAATATACCTAAGAAGGAGAAAACCAACAATTAGATTAAGACTTGTTTTAGTTTTTTAAATAAAAAGGGAGGGGGGAATAATTAGTGCTTAAAAGAATTCAACTAGAGCATTCCCTTAATTGATAAGAAGAGACCGTGGTTTAATACAGGACTGAGTCTGAGTGTATCCTACAAGTAAATTTGATACTGTGGGTATTTAGAGTGATGTTAACTAAAAGGAGGGGGGGAGATAACAAGGGGGAGTAAAATTATCTGTACCTGTGGGCGAGGAGTTTGGCTTCTGAATCCTATTATGCCTATTGGTGAATACTTCTAGGTGGAGAAGACAGAAAGTGCAATAGAAAGTCAACACTCTGCTAACTGTCTTAACATCGTATAGAAGAAACTGTGTTATTGTCTGTAAATGGGTAACGTATAACGTGTGCGTATTGAGGACCTTTTATGGGTTGAAAATTACGACAAGCTCCTGTTGATATAGGTTATGATTGAAAAAAAAAAAGGATTAGTGAGGCCTTGTGAAATTGAGGTTAACATAATAGGTGTAAAGTTAAATACCTGGGACAGAAGTATTCGCAGCAACTATATCAACAACACTTTGTTTCTGGTTCGATTTGTTGTACCTAGAACCGTGACAAAGTAGGAGAACAAAGTAAAACATGTACTTAACTGTGATTGAGAAGGTTAAAATGCTAATAGAAAAAAGAGGAGTGATTGTAGGAACTAGGAAATTCTATTATATTTAGTAGCTATATTAAAGTGTGAAGTTGCTTACAACTTAGGTATTACTGCAACTATTAAATGAAAGAATAAGGTAGGAGTGTGAACATCTAGAACAGGGATAGGCAACTTTCGGTACTCGAGATGTTGTGGACTACATCCCCCATAATGCTCTTACATCCATAATGCTGGCAAAGCATCATAGGAGGTGTAGTCCAAAACATCTGGTGTGCCAAAGGTTGCCTATGCCTGATCTAGAATGTACAGTTGGTAATCTAATACCAACCAAGGTTAATGTAGCCCTAGAACCGAAATATTGAGCCTGTGCATGATGAACATGCAAACCTAAGAAGACTGAATTAAAATCCACTAATAAATGGACAGATTTAACGAACAGTAACTGTGCTTGTAATGAGTAAAGAGTGTACGAATGCATCCAAAAGTGTGAGAAATTTTCGAACAGATAAACCCACAAAATACTACAGAATGACATGATTAGACGTACAAATGAAACAAGTAATAATATTTAAACGGATTCAAGCAAAGGATATGATTAAATGTACAAATGTAACAAGTAATGATATTTAAACTAAATCAACTGAATGACATGTTTAAACGTATGAATGTAACAAAGTGAACTTAAGAGAATGGAGCCAATCCCTGCATTTTAGGCCCGAATGTGGGAAAATTGAACAGTTATTCACGACGTGCACATATGTATGTGTGCCGGGTCTCGTGACCGGAAGACTGCAAGTTTCTGAAGTAGAGACGGAGGCCAGGAACAATGAAGGCTGCCAGACTGATGTTCACATGAAATTGGCATGAAGGACCAGAGTGGAAGTGCTGGTTGCTATGGTAACCAGATCAAATAGCGGAATCGGCGTAGGAGACTTGCATTTATATAGGGAAAACAACTCCCACAAATTCAGACCTATGGCCTTCTACATGTGTATACACAACACACACACTACATGGCACAATGACTTATGGGGCTGGCATACATTTTGTTCCAGGACTGCTTTGTATCTCCAGTCCAGCCGGACATTGATGTCATTCCTGCGGACACCCATGTACGTGACTATAAGGCCCTGGTGTCTTTTGCACAAGGTTGGACCAGTTTAGGCCTAGTATCATCAGTGGAGTTCTTTGCACTAGCCTGTACTTTTTCCTTTTGTGAACGCAGTGTCTTTCCTCGCTGCTTATTCAATTAGAAGCGATACAGTCCTGGCAACTGTTACTCAAGGCGTAAGAGTTTAGGCCTTGTATCGCCTGCGCAAAGTTACACTAGTTCACCTGGCAAACTTCTACCCTGAGCACTAGGACTCTGGTACTTGAGTCGCTAATCCCTGGCAAAGCACAATACACTGCAGAGTTTCTCTGGGTATTACAGGATATTCTATCTAACTAAAAACGTCTAGCGTTTTGTCTTTGGAGCGATCACCATACAGTGGACCTTACATAGTTAAAAACAATATTCTTCATGATGTAAAAGCGAACTCCAACTAACTGGGACTTTTTTTTTATGAGCACTCACCTTTTCTACATTTACAGGCATGACACACGTGTTTGCATAATATAGGGAGGAGTATGCAGGTACAGTAAATGCAGTGTGGGAATGTAGGATGGGAAAGAGACTAATACAAACTCGAATACATTAACCTCTGCCCCCTTTGGGATGATGTAGCTAGACCTCCAAATACCTCTAGCTGGTTCCCTTTCTTTTCTTGCAACACAATGGGTCTGTTGACCATTTTAATATAAGCAAACAATAAACAGGATGTGATGCTGTTAACTCAGTCCCACCTCCATCTATGCTTACTAAACCTCTTACATCTTACAATAGCTTGCTAGGTAAATTTCCTAATCCCATCAGAAAGCCTGGCATCTAGCTGAGGCCATCTGAGACAAAAAGTAACTGAACACATTACCCATACACACACTAGCATAGCTGTTACATATCCCTCTTGTACGCCTACATGTTACAATAAGGTAGAACTTTCATAGTGCTTTGACATTACACACAACAACACTATACAAGGTCTCCAGCCTCCCCCAAGTCCAATTTCCTGCAGGGGTAGCATCTCCTTGCCTTTCATGCATGCAAGTGCCACTCTTCTCCCAAGCACTCAACATGTGCTGGGAGTCCCGCAACAGGACATCAGGCATAAAACATGAACCAGGATAATGTGGCTTGTACCCGACCCTCCAGAATAAGGTATCCTGTAACCCCTAGGGTCAAGGTCCTTAGCCCCAAAGCACATAGTCACAGTTCTTGCATGTGATGGTGGCACGCCCAGGGACGTATTAGCCGCGAGGCAAACAAGGCATTTGCCTTGGGCGGCATTTTTCAGGGGGCGGCAAAAAACGCCGCCCCCCAAATGCCCAGGGCAAATGCCCAGTTAGCCTTGCTGCTAACTGACATCCCTAGCGGGCGGGCGGCGCTCGCCGGCGGGCGGCTGGCGAGGGAGCACTTCTTCTGAGCACAAAACCAGGATACACCACTGGGCACGCCTCCTCCAGCATCCTCCATTCATTGCTCTATAGGGTTAAACAAGTTGGCACCAGGCACAAGCGCAGTGCGATAAACAGTGCCATATACCATAACTCGTGCACCATTGAGCGATCTAAGTGGTAGGAAATGGCGCCTTTTTGATGGTTGCGTGCATTGCATTTCTATCGATAGTAGCAAAATTGTGTAGTGAGTTTTCACTGTTTCTGTAAAGGGATAATAAGTATAATTAACTTGTACTGTAATTAAAGTCCCTAACAACTGATATTCACGTTATATCATTCATGTGCATTATAGGAGCCCAAGCAGAGATTTACATACTCAAACGAGTATCATTCAGCTACTGTGAGCCCTTTAGATCTTGATAAAGAAAGGAAGGAGATTGCAACCGTATCAAAAAGCAAATGGAAGACATGCACGGGTTTTATATATCCTGGATTCAAAAGCAGCATCACAAGTAATGCACATCCCAAACATCCTGATGATGCTCGTATCGCTGATGTCGCTAAGGTATGTTATTTTTAAGTGGTTTGCATTATACCTCAGTTCCAAAGGTATGGGTACCTCCAGAGCTCTCATTGGGTGAAATAGTGTTAAAAGCTTCAACCTGATTTCCAGGTCATGAGCAGCCTAATCCAGTCAATATTGTAAAATTACCTATCTATCTATCCACTCCATCTCATCTGTACTGTTTTATTCCATCTTATTAGATTCATTCATCTCACAGCTCCATGTATTCCAGTCATGTTAAATTTTGACTGCATGGATGAAAAAAAAAAAAAGTGACGTAACAAAGTTGTAAAAGGAGGCCAAATGATTTTCTAAGTGACTTTTTTGTTCTTGTTGTTTGAAGGCTTGGAAAGAGAATATTCTGCATGCAAACATATTAAAACCTACTCTTACCCGGGATCGATGGAGTTGGGAACAGAGGCGAAGTGACTTTGACCTTTACCTAAAATACTATGATCGTTTTCCGCTGTTTGTACCAGGAGCTGTTCATCTGGCAGGTAAACTATTGAAGCATCATACAGGCTAATTGGGGTTTATAATTTCAATTTCTATGCCACTGACCAGGCCTTAGGATTGAGAGTACATGTTACACTCACCAGGGGTGAATTTGTCCTAGCCAGGTCTACATTTTCACTCGTTAATAACTAGTGGAGAGTGGACATTTTGAGCCCTGGTTTAACAATAGCTTATTGCTACCTGGATTGGCCAGGTAAAATACCATTAAATCTAGTCACATCATTGCAGTATGTAAGTAAAATTATCTAATTTCATGCATCATAGAATGCTCCAGATAAAATTTCAAGACACTAAACAGTTTACACTGTCATTGTATAATAATGGTGCATTATCTCCTTAAAGGGAAAGTCTGGGCTATGCAATGCAAATGCTTTAATGCACTAATGCTGTTTATTGGCACTTGATGCATTATATTTATCTTAAGGCAATTAAAATAAAAGCTATACATATTTTGTTTTTCCTGAGTTCCTAAAATCCTTTCTCTTAAGTTCTGCATTCAGAATGATCTCTCGAAACAGAATGTCTCTTCTTTCTTAAAGGACCACTCTAGGCACCAAGACCGCTTAATGAAGTGGTCTGGGTGCCTGGTCCAGCTAGGGTTAACCCATTTTTTTATAAACATAGCAGTTAAGCATTCCCTCTAGCGGCTGTCTCACTGACAGCCACTAGAGGCGCTTGCGTGCTTCTCACTGTGATTTTCACAGTGAGAGCACGCCAGCGTCCATAGGAAAGCATTGATAATGCTTTCCTATGTGACCGGCTGAATGCGCGCGCAGCTCTTGCTGCGCGTGCGCATTCAGCCGACGGGGAGGAGAGAAGGAGGATCGGAGGAGGAGAGCTCCCCGCCCAGCACTGGAGAAAGGTAAGTTTTTACCCCTTTCCCCCTTCCAGAGCCGGGCGGGAGGGGGACCCTGAGGGTGGAGGCACCCTCAGGGCACTATAGTGCCAGGAAAACGAGTATGTTTTCCTGGCACTATAGTGGTCCTTTAATTTAGAATTATAAGCAATTATTTGAATAGATATCATAGCTTTTATAAACATCCTTGATTGAACCCTTCCAGTTGTCAGACAGCTGAGAGGGTGCTTTTACACGCTTTAAACACTCTCTAAAAGCAGATGTGAGACTTCTCATAGAGAAGCATTGGAAGCAGATCTAAAAAATGAGTGTATAAAATGTACACTGCACATCTGTTCTGGGCTCTACCTGATCATATAATGTGTGATCAGGCATTGAGATCACAAAGAAACATATCTTACTGCAGAAAAAACATACGTCTGGGCACACCCAATGGTTTCTTAACCCCTTAAGGACCAAACTTCTGGAATAAAAGGGAATCATGACATGTCACACATGTCATGTGTCCTTAAGGGGTTAATAACAGGCAGTAGTTTTGGGGGAAATCAGAGGAAAAGACAACCTTTTGGCACCATCCTGTGCCTTTATTGCTTAGGGCTCCCACCCCCCACTCGTGGGTGGAGGCCGGGAAGGAGTCAGTAGGCCCCACCACCTGGTCATTTAGGGCCCCCACTTGCCACTAGAGTCCCTTGTTTAGTTTAACCCCTTAAGGACTGAGCAAAATGTACACGTTGTGATCAAAACAAAGCGTAAACAAAAACTTTAATTTGCACTATATGTATGTTCAGGAGTAATTCACCTCTTTCATATTATGTGCACCCACACTTATTATATATAATTTTATTCAGGGGAAACAGGACTTTCATTTAACATCAATTATTTAGGTATGAAACATAATTTAATTTGTTTGTGTGTGAAAAATGCAAAAAAATAATTTGAAAGGCATTTTGGCCAGTGTTTGTGACTAAGTGGCTACTAAAAAAGACTGGACATACCCCATTTGCAATACCTTGGGTTGTCTACTTTTGCAAGTGGTATGCCATCATAGGGGTAATTTTCATTCCTGGGCTACCATATGGTCTCAAAGGCAACATAACCAATTTCAATGTGAAAAAACTGAAACACAAGCCTTATATTTGACTCTGTAACTTTTGAAAACACCATAAAACCTGTACATGAGAGGTACTGTTATACTCGGGAGACTTCGCTGAACACAAATATTAGTGTTTCAAAACAGTAAAACATATCACAACAATTATATTGTCCATGTAAGTGCCATTTGTGTGTGAAAAATGCAAAAGAATTTCACTTTCACTGATGATATCATTGTAATACATTTTACTGTTTTGAAACACAAATATTTGTGTTTAGCGAAATCTTCCGAGTAAAACAGTACCCCCCCATGTACAGGTTTTATGGTGTCTTAGAAAGTTACAGGGTTAAATATGGTGCTAGCAAATTAAATTCCCTGGACTTTCGCCCTGGGTTGTCAGGCAGGTTCCGCAAATTGTAATTAATAAAATGACCTAATTATGTAAAATTATTACATAAATATATACGTACAATTATTTTATTAATATATATACACATGTGTGTGTGTGTATATATATATGTGTGTATATGTGTGTGTATATATGTATATTTTTTATTATTTTTATTTATATATAGGTATATATATAGTGATATGTATATACTTATGTTTATATATTATTTCTTTCTACATGTATTTTGATATCAATATATATATATTAATTTTAAAATACAGTTAGAACGAAATTACACATATATATATTTTATTTATTTTTTATTTTTTTATTTTTTTTACGTATTTACATATGTATTTATAATTCTATATAAATATATATAATGATAAAAATAGAACAAAAAAGCGCAATATAAAATTAATTAGTCTGTATGATACCAAATATTAAAAAGTCCAAAGATAAAAATTTGTAGCTGCCAGACATAAAAGGTTATTCCGCAAACCTATGTGATAGAATGTCCAAAAGTAGATAAGTGTCAGCGCTGTGCAATAGCCCCAAATAAGTGTTTGTGGGGAAGCTGGGTATTGAGATAAATGTGTATGATTTCCACCTCCACAGCGGTGGTTTAGAAAGTTAAAATTATTCTGTGTAAACTTTGTATCCAACAGCAGTGATCACAGTAACATATCTTCACAAATACAAACCAAGCAAAGAAAGTGCAACACAGTTTATTAATATCATGTAAAAATGAAACTCCAAATCCTTTAAAAAACTCATACACAGTAAAAAAGATGGTGTTTAATCCTACTTTTCATCAAGGAATCCAAACAGTGTCCAGAATATGTAACAGATAAGCAGTGTGCTGAAAGTATTTCCATTGGTGCAGCAGGAATTCAGAAAACGTCCATGGATCTAGCCGAAATGCTGCAAGTTCAAATGGAGGGATGACAAAGCACTTAATGCCAAAAGAGTCTGCCTGGAAAGATAAGATGAAAGGCTTCTAGCTCATCCACACGTTCCGCCCGTACTCAGGTGGAAATCATACACATTTATCTCAATATCCAGCTTCCCCACAAACACTTGTTTGGGGCTATTGCACAGCGCTGACATTTATCTACTTTTGGACATATATATAATGATAATTATTTAATCAATATCATGCTACATGTACTTTGATATTAATATATATATATATATATATATATATATATTAATATTAAAATACACTTAGACAGTGTATTTGTATGTATGTGTGTATATATATATATATATATATATATATATATATGATCTAAGTATATATAATTTGATTTTACACTGAAGCCGATGTTCAGGATCCGTCAGTGTGTGGTGGCTCTTGATGCCTCAGTCCACTCCTTGTGAAAGTCCCCAACACATTTTCCTGACTATCCTCTCCAGGCTGCGGTCATCCCTGCTGCTTCCACACTTTTCCCTTCCACATAACTTTCTATTAATGTGCTTTGATACAGCACTTTGGGAACATCCAACTTCTTTCGCAATTACCTTTTGAGGCTTTCCCTCCTTATGGAGGGTGTCAGTGATGGTTTTCTGCACAACGGTCAGGTCAGCAGTCTTCCCCATCATTGTGATTCCTACTGAACCAGACTGAGAGACCATTTAAAGTCTCAGAAACCCTTTGCAGGTGTTATGGCTTACTTAGCTGATTAGAGTGGGACACTGTGAGCCATGAATATTGCACCTTTTCACAATATTCTAATTTACTGAGATTGTGGATTTGGGGTTTTCATGAGCTGTAAGCCATAATCATCGCACTTATGACAAATCACAGCTTGAACTATCTTGCTTTGCATGTAATGCGTCTATCTCATATATTAGTTTCCCCTTTTACGTGGCATTACTGAAATAAATTAACTTTTGTCCGATATTGTAATTTTTCGAGTATTACCTGTATATCAAAAGTACCCACTACTCTACCATATACCTATAGGCATATGGTAGAGTAACCAGTTGGTTTACATTGATTCCAGACATAGAGGAGACTACGTGTACCATTTCACACCTTGCAGAGGCTCTGGCTGCTGGTTGTTTCAAAAGAGCAACTTGTGTTGTAAACCTTATGACATCTATCACATTCCTATAAATCCAATTTAACCAATCTCCTGCTGAAATTTACCTCTGTCAGGTAGCCAATTCATTTATGCACTACACAGATCACATTCAATAGCAATATTATATAGCACAACACCCTTAGCAGTATGTACATCCTGACATTAAAGGTATTCCTGACCTTATAATGTTAAAACCACCATCTAGCCCCCTGGGCCCTTCATGCCTCCATAAATATAGTAACAATCTTACTGTATTCAAGCCTGAAGCTGTAACTCCGCATGCTGTTAGACTGAGAAAGACAAGCAGTCTCTGATATCATCAGAAGTGGTTGCCTGATCCAATCACAATGCTTTCCCATAGGATTGGCAGAGACTGACAAGGAGGCAGATCAGGGGCAGAGCCAGCATGATTCAAACACAGCCCTGACCAATCAGCATCTCCTAATAGAGATGAATTGAATCAATGAATCTCTATGATGAAAGTTGAGTGTCTGCATGCAGAGGGAGGAGATACTGAATGTTTGGATGCATTTTAGGCAGCCATGACCCAGAAAGGATCTCTAACAGCCATCTGAGGAGTGGCCAGTGAAGTTATCACTAGGCTGTAATGTAAACACTGCATTTTCTCTGAAAAGACAGGTGATTCTACTCAACAGAACAACTTCAATAAGCTGTAGTTGTTCTGGTGACTATAGTGTCCCTTTAAACAATGTATTTCTCCACACTACTTTATAAATAAAATCTTATTAAATTAACAAAATAAGAGAAAATTACAACAGATTACTCTAATTTATAAAGAGTATGTTGCACCACAGGCAATCTCTGCTATAAAATGTTTTGTTCCTTTTGTGTCTTTAATGTCCCTTTAAGCATAGCTCTAAAAAAGTAAATACAATCCAAAATAATCCATTTTATATGAACAGTACTGAGATGCATCATTTCTGCTTTTATTATTTGCCCTTACCCTTGTGTCAATATAGTACACTCCCCTTAGAATGTAAGCTTATTTGAGCAAGGCTCTCAGCACATTCTGTTCCTGTACGTCCAACTTATCATGCTGCATTTACTTGTTTTTTAGTCCACCTATTGTACAGTGCTGCAGAATTTGTTGGTGCTTTTTAAAGAATAACACTAATAATATCAAAATAATCACACTCAGACTGAACATCACTGAAGTGATTTGCTGCCCCCACTGCTTATGTCCTGTGGATTATATGTGGCCTCTTCTCACATTGGACATGCAGCATCAGATGTGTAGCAAGTTCATGAGGCGCAGGGGGGGCTTATGTTTTTTTTGTGGGTTCACTAAAAGAGAAAGAGGGACATTACAGTTGAACAGCTACATGTCAACTCTTTTTTAAAATTTGCTTGTATCCAGTGGCGTACACACAATCCATGGGGCCCCGGTGCAAAACTGATCCGTGGGCCTCCCCCAGACACATACATACAGATACACACATACAGAGACACAGACAGAAACACATACAAACAGACATCCCCCCCCAACAGACACATACATACATACACACACACCCCTGGCAGATATACACAAAGACACATACACACACATATACAGTCTGTATGTATGTGTCTGTATGTGTGTGTGTGTGCATCTCTGTATGTATGTGTCTGGATGATACAGACACATACATACAGAGACACACACATACAGTATGTGTGTATGTGTGCATCTGTCTGTATGTGTGTCTCTGTATGTGTGTGTCTGTATCATACAGACACATACATACAGAGACACACATATAGACACACACATACATACAGACACACATACACACAAAATGTTTGTCAAACACCTGTTTCCTACCTTTTGCAGGAGGGTGACTTTCCCTGGGATCCAGTAGCTGCTCAGGCTGAGGGGAGTCAGAGTTCCCACTTCCTCCCGCACGGCTCTCTGATAGCTTGGATGAGAGACAGGGGAGTCACTTCCTCCCAGCTCTATCTGACATCATCACAGGGGGCCCGGTCGTGATGTTAAAGCGTCCAGCACGGACAGGGCCCCCTGAAAATCCATATCCAACGGGTGGTCCTGACAGCATGGGTCAGCCGATGGACCCCTTCATGTGTGGCCCCGGCGGTTTGCTGTGGGGGGCCCAGTCGCAGCTGCCAGTGCTTGTATCTTTTGTGTGTCGCCAAACAAAAAACGGTTTCATTGAGAGGTTAATGGTTAAACTTGTATGTACCATGAACATTAAAACTTCAATTTTAATTTGTTGAAATCTGGTTATAATATAGTCAATTGTTTTTACCTAAAGGTATAAAGCATCAGGAAGAAGAGAAGCAAGCCAGACAGGTGGAGTATAATAAATGGCTCCAGAACAGCAAAGTGGAAAATTCGAAAATGGAATTTCACCGAAGTTTTCCAAAAACTGAAATGACATCACGGGGTATAAAGGACAGAGTCCAACAAAGCCAGTGAGCGGAGATTTAAAAAGACTTGACTGACAAACTCTTTCCGCACTGTTCTGACCTCACATTACAATTTCAGGCAAAAAATGCTCCCCTTACATACTGTTTGCTAAGTATGATATCATACAATGTACCAAAAAACATTCTTCTGTAAAAAAAATCATAAATAGCATTGTGCAGTTCTCACAGTTCTGCTGTAAGAGTGTCATATTGTACATTTAAAAACATATTTTTTTCTTCTTCTTTTTTTTTTTTAATCTAAAGGCTTTTCTGTGACTCTTCAAAACACCTAGTGCTGCAGTTTAGATTTAGTTGTTTGGCAAAAAGCTCTTTAGTAGGGTATCTCTCTGAACTCTAAATTTTCGTGATTTAAATCCAACTAGATAAACTAAGGCAAAAATAAAAGTTGTGACTATGGCTCAGTTTTTTTTCAGATCAGCCGGTGCACAGGAACATTTTTGGTTCATTTTGGTCAGTAATTTTTTTAATATTTTGGTTTGACCTGCATTCGGTCATAAAATAACACAATATGAGCCAGATAGAAAATATGAACAGTCGGTTGTGGTGTGCCAAAACCGACAATGCGGTAAGCCTGTAATAAAAGAGGGCAAAAATGAGTATACCATACAATAGTTATTTCAGCCTACAATTGACAATCATATAGAATCTATGACATGTTCATGTTACAAAAAACTTTGCATATTTCCTGTACGGGTTGGGGTATGTATCGGGTATATATGGATGATTTCCACCATCCTAATGTTTTGATAATAAGTACTGATATGTTTCTACTAGATGCAATGGTGGCTGCTCCAATTCGGAATCTTAAATTGAACCATTATTAAGTCCCTCTAAAAAAAAATTATTTGCACACCCTACACGCAGTGATTAAACCTACATTAATCAAGAGAGGAACAAAGGATAGTAGCAGATTATTGGACCTAGTGTGGCCACGTTTAATGCAATGCCTGTAGCAGGCAAAGATATCGAGGTGGATGCCATTGGGTCTGGCTCATCATTATCTTTTGAGGGACCTGCCTCCCTTACAGACTTCTTCTTGTAAAACATACCTGGCCACATTGTCGTGGTGCTACTGCCAATTGGTTTATTAAAATTACAGTTTTGTAGGGAGTGATGGAAAATGCATGGATTTCTCACACACAACAAGTTCACTTAAACATAAAGAAAATATAGACATACCGAATTACCGTTTTTTTTCACCATTTACAGCTAGCTCAATTTCTTTCAGTACTACAGCATGACTGCACACTGTCAGAAACAGAATACAATGCCAGAATCGAACACAATGCTGTTAGTCAATTATTGTGCTTTCAAAACAGTTAAAAAGAAATAAAATGCAGTAAATTAACAGTGCTAAAAGCCACTACTAGCACACCAAGCTGAGACAACTACATTTCCTTTTTTGCTTCTTCTACAAAAAAAAAAAAAAGAATTGTTGGAGAATGGAGATGGAATATCTCCAGTGGTTACAAGTTCTAATAAGATCTCCACTCAACAGCAGCTGCGAAGACTGCAAACTGCAGGAAAACAGAATACAAACCAACAGCAACAATATGCGGCTAATTCACTGTCTTAGCTTTTAATGTTCAAGACTTAAATTTGCAGAAACTTGGCATAAATTGGCTGATAAACACTCAGTCATTATCAACAAGCAGGCATAATGATTAGTCTGTCATGGCCACAGGATTATTCCGAAAACACTCACCAGATTAGTTGCTGTACTGTCGTTTGCTGCCTTGTGTTTGACCGCAGCACCACAAGCACATCATTTCCCGAATAACTCATATTCTGAAATTTGGTCATTCAGTTTCCCTTTCAAGTTGGGATTATATTATTTTCTGACTAATGACTGAAAATCTAAATATTCTGGAATTTTGCAGTTCCAATTACAAATGCGCACATCTATTATTTTGCTTCCATTACCATTTGGATTTCATTCTCGTAAAATTTCGAGGTTAGCAAATAACACTCTGGTTGTTTTTCAAATGTGGGAAATCTATTCCAGAGGAAGACTGTCTGTTGCTTCCTAATTTTAATTTAACACTGAACTTGAAACAATGCAAGGTTTCGTCATAGTCATTATCTTGCAGCTCTGGTGCAATCCTTATTATAAAGCTACAGAGTAATTAACCCAAATATTTAACGAAATTAGTTTTATTATAGTCAAAATGCACATCAAAAAAGTTAGTTTCCAAGTCTATGCAAAATAATCCATGGAGATCTCAATCTATTTATTATCTAATGCAGTGATTCTTACTTGTGGCTTAGTTCACATGCGCTTTCAGGAGATCTCCAGCGTATGGAAAAGACTCATATTCATCACCCCTTATGCAACTGTTTACAATTTGTTACAATGGCAAAATCATCCCCATTGCAATGGAGAACCCACTGACACGAGTACGAGTCTAATTAAGATGTCTTGTAAAGAAAATATTGCAATGAACTTCATTCTTCTTTTTTTAACTTAGACTATTATATATTATAGGTGAAAAAATTAGTCACTGAATGGGTCATCATGCTTATGTAATGATTGTAAAATTGGATCCTTGTCAATAAAAAAGTCTAAGAACCAACAATCTAATAAAAATAAGAGTACAAAGAGTTCCTAAAAGTCTCCATTCCTTTTTAGTAGCATTTGTATTAGAAATATTTTGATGTATCACTAAAATGGACACTCTAGAGCCCAAAGTGCCTCCCCATCATATTTTAAAATATTATCTATATCATGCATTAATAAAATGCTTCCTGCTATTTCACTGTCAAACAGCAGACAGACCTTCTCAGACCAGAAAGAGGTTCAATCAATCAATCAATCAGAAGCCTCTCATTATGGTTTATGGAATATATAAGTATGGTAAGTATAAGTAGAGAGTCGGCCTGTGATGATGCTGTGCGTCCGCAAAGTAACTAGGAGGATGCCAGGACAATCTGGGCACCAAAGCCATTACAGAGGTCTGTCGTGTTTCTGATGTTTGATAATACTCACCTTCTATAAAATAAAAGTAATAACATAGAGAAATTACTCTCAGATGCACACCTTAATGTAATTGCTGAACACACCCCTGCCAGTTTGTTCTTCCCAGCGCACATATAATATTCAGTTCCTTTCGCGGCAGCACTGGAAGGTACCAACCTCTTGCGGCAGCACTGGAAGGTCACTTCTTCCCTGCCACACAGGAGGAAAGAAGAACGCTGTAGTAAGGTCAGTCCTGCAGTTGCTTGGCGGGGATCTTGAGGAGAGTCGCCAGTGTAGTAAATTTCAGTGTGGCTGCTGACGTAAGCTTTTTAGGGTTACAACACTTTTCCTTAACACGTTCCCAGCACTGTAGCTCACATAGATGGTAAATACCACAAAGTAACCTGTTGTGTTGTTATAACCTGACAAGGTTTTTACTTTGTCATTTTATTTTATAGAGTAAGTGTTGTGATCATACAAATAAAAATGAATGAATAACATATTTTCTACTTTGAGGATAAAAAAAACGAGTGTTCATAATAATTATTTTGAAAAAGTTATCCACATATTGAATCAGGTAATCAAGCCTGTTATAATATATTATTAATTTATTCTATGGTTTCCCAGGATTCGGACTTAAGTTACTCGTTTAACTTTATCTATGGACATTTTTGCAGTCGTAGTATAATAAAGCTTACCACTTCTGACTTGTATAATTCATGTTTACGTTAAGCATTGTGCAGGCTAAACTGTTAAAGTATATATAATTATATTTTATTTTACTGTATCCTTCTTTTGACAAATATAATCTTAAACAGTTGACAATCCACCATTCACATGAAACTTATCAACCCCACCTGGTGCCAGGCCAGGTGATACTCCAATTGGTTCCAATTTTAACTCCAAAAATTATGGTATGCCTAAGTATAGTACAACACATTGGGTTTAAATAACAAAACAGCAAAAGTCCAATATGCATGAAAAAATTCAAAAAACACAGTTTATAAAAAATAATTAAAAAAAACACATTTTTGTTATTGAAGTGCTTTGTGCTAAAGTGATCTCCCCAACTCTGTTTGCTAACTTAATAATGTTTTCTATTAAAAAAAAAAAAACTAGTGCGAATAAATGTGAATAACTATGTGCTACATAATAGTAGGTACTACACTCCATGGCTTGATAATATCCCCAAAGCTCAGTTAGAAAGGATAAGGAGAAATTGCCCTGATGATACCGTTTTTAAGGAACAATCCAGTATTGTAACTTAGATATTAAGAAGAAAAAATACCTTAAGAAGGATATTTGGGTATAAAGATATAATGGGTATAAAGAGGTGGAAAAATATAATAAGGAGGAACAAATTGTGAAAGAAAAGAGAGCTACAGATTTATCCACTGATAGTATGTTACTTTAATGTAAATTTTAGAGAGATGAAGAGAATTGTAAACAAGCACTGGAACATATTACATAAAGATAGATATTTAACTAATGTTTTGAAGATAGACCTTTTATTACTTTTAGATAAGCACCAAATGTTAAATGTACTTTAATTCAAGATTATTTTATTAAAACAAAAAAGTGTCTTAAGTGATAAAATAGGTTTTTACTTGTACAATAAATGTCAGGGCTACCAGAGGCGGCCGCCTAAGGCCTCGCGTTCACAGGGGTCTAGCTGCCTAAACCATGTAATCAGAGAGCTGCTTCACAGCTATTAACTTGCTGTTTTCTACTACAAAAAGATGACGCGGTGCAACTAACACACCCTCACAGGGGTTCCTTCCTCCTGCACACTGAGCTTCTAGCAATCAGCCAATCTGTGTCTTGTTGCTACGAAGATAGTGCCAATTGCAGAGCGCACTGTGAAGCTGGTGAGAAGAAGGTGAGTAGAGCAAAGCAGAAGGAAAGGAGAGCATAAGGTAAGGAGAGGAGAGCAGAAGAAAGAGAGCAGAATGAGCCAAGGAGGAGAAGACAGTGTCAGAAGAAAGCAAAGAAAAGGAGATTGGAGTAAAAAGAACAATATGGAAGACAAGTGATCCCCCAATTCATCCTGGACACTGGCCTGAGGCTTTGGTGCCTGACAAGCAAACTTTGGACCATCTCTTCACCCCCAGGTAAAAAAAAATAAAAAAAATTACAAAATTTTCAATGTATTTACTTTTTTTTTTGATTATGTGAGATGTAGACATATTGGTTATTTTTAAAGGAACACTGTTCACCATAACAACTTCATCTAAATTGCTGAAGAAGCGTTTTGCCTTTTTCATGTTCCCATTACTTCTTTATGTCACATTCCTTAAATTTACTGACATAAACTGAAAGCTGGCTCTCTCTTTACTCCTGTCTCATTAATCTTTAACTCAAACTTCAACACTATGTGTGACGAAATGCCTTTTGTCACTGGATTTTTAGGTGACAAGTTGTCCTTTGCCCCTGGCTGTTGGAGGAGCCTGAGTGCTGTCAGAGTATTTATATCGGCAGACATTTTGTGCTATGATAGAAACTAAAAGTGTATATTCTGAGTCACTCTGAACAGACCAGACTCCATTTTGTTATTCCAAGTTAAAAAAAAGAGACACAGGATTTCTTTCTGTAAGACTGGCCTCTTTGCCAGAGCTAAGGAATGCATAGCATAGTATAAACAAGTGATAAGAAGAATATAATCAAATCTAAACCCAGACAATTGTGACAGAGAAGATTAAATAATTTAATATTTAACTGTCTATATATATAAGGTACCATTGTATGGAAAAGGGTAAACTTAGTTCATGATCTGTCATATCAGAAATTATGGCAGGAATTGCAGACGCTAAGTCTGGACAAAATTTAAGAAATCCTTTTAAATTTTAAATTATGGCACTATAAAGATAACGCAAAATGACGTCAAAATAGCCACCAGGAAAAGTTAACTCTTTCCTGGATAGGTATGTTTAGTGGGACAAGACTGCCCTCTATAGACCAAATACCTAATTTGCGATCTGGAAGATAACCACACCTCTAGTGCTTCTATTGGGTTATCAACTGATGACGTACAGAGAGTCTGGCCCTTTAAAAGTTAAGACAAAGGGAAGATAGAGATCTATGAGAGAGGAGGCAGATCCAAGAGATATGCAAAGAAAAAGAGGAGAGAGGAATTGGAAGTTTGGGGATTCCAACTCGGACAACATCTGAGACTAACACTCTACTCCTAAAACTCTAACACTTAGAATTTCACTGACTTTCTAACCAACACCACCTTTCACCATAACTCAATGCAGAGAGACATCCAAATAAGTTCCTGAGACTACCAATCGGATGAAATATTTACTCAACTGGTAATTATACTGGTTTCATTTAATTAAATTAATTAAAATGTATTAATAGCATTATATATGACTGGATAAAGCACGGTCAGATTTCCATATTAAGAAATCTTAGTTAACTAAGAATATATATTTATAAATATTCCATTCTGCAGGTGGAATTAAGAATAATTATATATTGATGTGACATTATCACGTGTTAGCATACCGCTGTTTTTATCCAGGTGTATTGATTTGCTCTAAATTAAGATAGATATCTTTTAGACAAATTAAAAATCTGCTTATATAATATATTAGATTCTCTTATTGGATGATTTTCAGGAAATGACTAATGAACTGGATTAAATGTTATTTTATTTAAAATGACATCAGAATAGATCTTAACTACCTAGGAGATCTAGCCAGCATTGAAAGGGTTATTCTAACTGTCGGCTAAACTTTACGACCTTACGCTGCACTCTGAGGAATTCTGTTCTTCGCTGTGAAAAGTTTCACTTAAGTCTGTGTTAAGGATACCTCATAAATCGTCAGAATTCTTGACAGGAAATGCTATTTAGCCATTGAAACGTAATACCCATTTCTTTGTATTGCATATCAATTTATACTGAATATTCATTGATTATTGTTATGCATGTTACATAATATTATTTGTTAATTATTGGTTATCATAAATAAAATCTATTTTTATACATTGTGATTATTTATATGAAATACTTTCCACTTAACACGATAAACGTTCTTTGGGATCTGAGAATTGAATTAGTGGGCAATTCTCACTGTTACTATTATTATCCCATAAATATCCCCACAGTGCCAGCCTCCTGCCTCATGACTATGGCCCTGGGTTGTATGGCCCTTTACAAACATTATTTGGGCTAATGGATTTATATTGTGCTGCTGCTGGCCCTTTAAGAACTGCATTGTGGTTTATGGACTTGTATTGGACCATGCTGGTCCTTTAAGAACCATCTGGGGACATACTGTGACTTTTGGGAACAATGCCTCTTTAAGACTATGGCCCCTGGAAGATCTTGCCTGTTAAAGACTATTTTAGCAGATTGGATTTTAAAAGACTTGCTGCCCCTTTAAATTGTATTGGAGCAGTTCTGCAGCTTTCAATTGGCACTTCGGATGCAGCCGAAGTGCCGATAGTAGTCGAAGTGGCCACCATTCGACAAACAAACACGTGGCGGCGGCCATCTTTAATTCAGCTAACGTTTTACCTTCTCCAGACTTCAATGCATTCGACAGTTCGAACGCCATTCAACAGTTCATTCGACAGTTCATTCGACAGTTCGACAATTCGAATGGTTGTCTTTCGTCTGTTTGAACT